GACTGTGTGATTAGATGGGGCCCACCTGGGTAATATATGATAATCTCCCCACTTAAAGATTATCTAATTAGCAGCCCTAATTAGGGTGTGTACAATTTTGGAGGGCCATATTCTGCCCACCATAAGCAGCAATGTGAGGGCCCTGAATTCCACATAGTAACTCTTTTCTAATGTTTTTCGCACAATTGCCATGCTCTTACCTAGTCTGCTGCATTCTTCTTTAGATCAAAAGCATGATTTAGTCACCTCTCTGTCCCCAGTCCCTGGCCCAGGTCTCAGCCCAGGTAAGGAGCTCAGTATTTATCGACTAGAAGCTACTAAGTAAAATGTTGGCTGGCTGGAGTGTTTAAACATAAGTCTCCTGACTCCTCTTAGAAAATAGAGGTTTACTGAGTTTTGAGAAAGTGTTAAAAAACAATTTTGTAGCACAATCAGGGGGTCCAATTGTCATTATCTTGCTTTCTCACACTAAGCCAGCTCAAAGATGAACAAAACAGGCAACTTCTATTATCTGACAGAAGTGTTCCAGATTTTTCAGATGAAAAAACAGCTCATAGCTTTTTTGTCTAGCCCACATGGGAACACAGCTGTATAGGAAATTCAAATGAACAACAAAATTCATGCCATAAAGTCTTATGACCCCCCAACACAACTGAGAATCAAATTCTTCTCAAGCAATTTTTGTAGGATTAGCATTTAAACACATAGTGAATCCCTTCAGTTCCAATACATCTGGAGAAATGAAACCTTGTTTCCAAGAAGTGCTCAATACATTTTTCCATCACTGCAAAATAAGTTCCACAACTAAACTATGTCTCTGTGGTGAGACCCAGTACTCTCCATATAGCACCAACTAGAAAATGAGCAGACCTGGTGTGCAATCAGGACACAGGGCAGGACTTGACAAGATGCAATTGCGATATAGATTCATAGTAAAGGAGATGGATTCTTTCACTTGGCAGAATTGTCCAAAACTTGCCAGGTCTTGTGGAGTTCAAACTCCAGCCATGACAGCCCTAACTAAGCCAGTTCTCAGAGTTCTATCTTCACTATGGCAACCACTTGGGAGGCCTCCAACTTGCTGAACTGGAGATTCTGAAGGAAAATAGCCCAGAGTAGCTGCATGGTCTGCAGAGTTTTCCATACTTTATTCAAATAGCACCTCATCAGTAAAACCATACAGAATATTCAATGTTGGTTTCGAGATCCTTGTGAATCCCAGTTAAAATGTTTCTATGTATATAACTTCATTTGATCCCCCAACAGGCTTGGCAGTTAGTTGGGGCTGGAATCAGAATCTAGTACCTACCACAGTGTCTGGCACATGTTAATAGCTCACTAAATGTTTACGGAATCCATGAACTGTCATCATTTTATAAAGGAAGAAGCAGGTTCAGAGAGGTTTAAATAGTTTCCTAAAAGTGCCCAGTGGCATACAGGGCTAGAATTCTGGCCTTCTGTTAGCCTGTTGCTTCTCCTATTCTGCCATGCTGGCCTTCAAACTCCAACTGAACGAAGGTCAAGAGGACATTTCTCTCATGCTAAATAAACATTCGTTGAGCATATGGCTCATTCATCTTGTTTTCAATGGAACCTCTTAAGCAAGGCTTCCTGATTTGCCTCTTCCACCCTGCCCAACTCCTCATACCCACTACAATCTACCCCATTTCCTATTTGACTTATCCCGACCTTTCATTATTTTATGTTTATGTTTATGTTTATTGACTTCCCTGACTAGAATGTAAGCTTTCTGAGGACAGCGTGCTGATCCAGACTTTCTTCTAATTATAAGATAAGGGTGTGATACAGCCACTGAAACCTAGCCAGTATGGTCTCATGCAAGGCATGTTCAGAGAAGTGTAGAACAATGGACTTCAGGCCTAATGTTCAGAAGATAAGGGAATGGTGTTAACCTTAGAACAGAAAGACTCAGGGAAGACATCTTTTCAAACGCCTGAAGACTGCAACACAAAAAAGGAGGGTAGACTTGGCCTAAGTGACCCAGCAGAACAGGGGAATGTGTGGTACTTGCAGGGATTTTGGTTCAAGGTGCACTCATTATTCTCACCACTATTTAATTGTTGGATGCTTACCGTCTTCCTACTAATGTTTAAGTGCTGAGGTTAGTCCCACATCTCTTATTTTTCACTATATGTACACAGCAGACTACATGGTGTCTTTGCCACTCAATGTGTGATTGAAGGAATGTTATATGAAATAGCAACTATAGGTCACTGTCACTTTGCCAAAAATGCTCCTCATCCTCACTTCCCTTCACCTGACTGGCCCTTAACTTACACTTAAGGTCTGATCTTTTTTTTTTTTTTTTAGTCGTAATTGGACACGATACTTTCATTTTATTTATTTATTTTTATGTGGTGCTGAGGATCGAACCCAGGGCCTCGCAAATGCTAGGCAAGCACTCTACCGCTGAGCCACAACCCCAGCCCCAAGGTCTGATCTTAAATATCACTTTATTTGGAAAATCATTCTCAGTTCCTGAAAATCCCCTCTCATAGTGCCCCATATTTTTCCATCACAGCATTTATGATTATTGTATTTGAGGTACTTTGTCAAGTACTGAGGGCTGAATTAAAACAAATTATACTCCATGCTTTTATAATTATGTCAAAATGAATCCTAATGTTATGTATAACAAAGAAAATAAATAAAAAATGATCCACATTGCCCTACTGGAAGGTGATCAATACTTCTTGCATGAATTATTCCTAAGAATCCCATGAGCCTGGTGTGGTGACACATGCCTATAATCCCAGCAACTCAGGAGGCTGAGGTAGGAGAATCACAAGTTCAGATCCAGCTTCAGCAACTTAGTGAGGGCCTAAGCAACTCACTGAGACACTGTCTCTTAAGTAAAATATAAAAAAGGTCTGGGGATGGGGCTGGGATTGTGGTTCAGCAATAGAGCACTTGCCTAGCACATGTGAGGCATTGGGTTTGATCCTCAGCACCACATAAAAATAAATAAAGGTATTGTGTCCAACTACAACTAAAAAAATATATTTAAAAAAGGGGGCTAGGGATATGGCTCAGTGGATAAGCACCTCTGGGTTCAATCCCCAGTACCAAAAAAAGAAAAAGAAAAATAACACCCCATGATATGGCTGTAACTCCTATAGAATACTCTCCAGCAGAGCTGGGATTGTTATTCAGTTGTCTGTTATTTCTACTGTGAACCATATAAAGAAAGTGTTCAGATGTGTGTAACTCCAATACCTGGACTTTTTTTTTTCTTTTTTCTAAACCAAACTATGTGGACACAAAGCCACTTTTAGAATTGAAAGCTCTGCCATGAAAGATGGCCATTTGTTGAAAAGGTTGGGAGGCAGAATGAAGGAATGCTGCTAGTCAGGCTGCCTTGCCCATGGGCTACACAAGACACAGGAGGGCCCCTGGCTAGGAGTGTAAGAACCCTCCTAACCAGGGGAACCTGCGTGAGGCAGACAACATGGCCCCAAGTGGAGGGACAGAGCTGACTTCATGCCTTACCCTGGCCTTGTAACACGAAGGTGGTGGGCAGCAGGCTCGAAATCTGCAACTCCCTTCATTATCCTTCTCGTTATACTAAAAGATAGATTAGCAGAGTCTGTCTTTGGAGCCAGTAGAGTAGGGGTGAAGATTCTGGACTTTGGAATCAGACTGGATTTAACTAGCTCTGTGACTTAATTAGCCATGTGACAACTATTCTGCACCTCAGTTTCCTCAACTGTGAAATGAGAATAGTGGAATGTACCCTCATGGGAACCACTGGTGGGCATAGTGGTGCACACCTATAATCTCAGCTCAGGAGGCTGGGGCAGGAGGATGGCAAGTTCAAGGTCACCCTCAGCAACTTAGTAAGGCCTAAAAAACTCCACAAGACCCTGTCTCTAAATAAAATACAAAAGGGGCTGGGGATGTGGCTCAGTGGTTAAGTGCAACTGGGTTCAATCCCCTGTACCAAAATAATAATAGGGGGCGGGGGCTGGGGCTCAGCGGTAGCACACTTGCCTGGCATGTGAAGCACTGGGTTAGATTCTTATCACCGCATATGAATAAATAAAATAAAGGTCTATCATTAACTAAAAATTTTTTTAAAAAAAACCTAATTAAAAAAATAATAATAGGGGCTGGGGTTGTGGCTCAGTGATAGAATGCTAACCTAGCATGACGAGGCACTGGGTTCAATCCTCAGCACCACATAAATGTAACATAAATATATTGTGTCCACCTAAAACCTAAAAAAAATATTTTTTTAAAATAATAATATTAACTACTGTTATTCTCGAATTTATTTTCAAGCCTCCTCCTGCATCATCTTAGTGTTGAACTTCCTGTCAAGAAATTTCTGATCAACTCAAAACATCTATCTTTTCACTTCCTTATGCTCCAGCACTGGGTCAGGTTAACTAATGTGCAGTGAATTATAAAATGTGAGTTGTTTCAAGGAATAAGTCTGTTGTGTGTGAGCCCCCAACCTGTGCCTTTCATTGGGCTATGAGCAAGGAAGCCATAGTGGATGGCAACAAGACACAATGGATGGTGGCTGGGGCCAGTAGCCAGCTGACAGTATCATTACCTAACTACAAAACATGTCATGTACAAAAAAAAAGAGAGATGCATCTTTAGCTTGGGGGAAAGAACCTGAAACTGCCTTTCTACCCTAACTGGTTAAAGAATCGACTCTCTCCATCTAATAGAAACAACTAACATTTTCATGACATTCTCCATTACTGAGTTAACAGGCCACAAATCAATGTAATGGAATTTGACCACTTTGACTCATATTTCTTAAATGGCCCAACTGTGACCATAAACAAATACACCCACCCTTATACATAAGCACCAAGAATTTGCCACCCTGTAAGTTAAGTTGTTAGGTTTGTTTTTAAAGCATAAGTCTTCCCCCTTTTTCAGTCTGTGTGTGTGTGTGTGTGTAGAAAAATAAATGAAGTCAGCACTCTTTACATCTCACTAGAATAAGCTGTGACTCAAATATGGTGAGTGGTTATTTGCAAGGCTATAATTTCTTTAATGACAGATTTTCCTAAAAGAAACCACTATAACATTTGTCCAAGTACTCCAAGGGAAAACAAAAAAAAATACATGAAGATTAAAAGTCTATTATTTTAACAGCACATTGCCAAACACAGACAACTAGGATAAATGCCAAGAGACCTTTAAAAATAACTTTAAAAGATGCAACGTTCAAGTCAATCAAACATGTAGGTTCCACAAACAACAGAAAAACAGGTTCAAGAACAGTTCTACTTGTGCATGATGGTAACTCAGACTGTACTTCATCAAAGTTCATCCAGGCATTTCAATTCAATGGGTGTCTGAGCAGAAATGTTTGCTCTTCTTTGTGTGGAGATGTACACATAGATTTGAGAAGAAAAATCTTCCAGAGGCTGATGATGTAAGCACAGCAGGCTTGGTTCCCCTTTGATAAAGTACTGAAGGCAGATTTAGTGGACTCAAGCTTTATCAGTTCCCCTAATGAGAAGTCTTATGCATGCTGAAACAGACAAGTTACGGAATTTATCATGCTAAGTATTTACAGCCATGTTCATAAAGTGAGCTCAGTAACCTGACAATAAAAAAGGTAGTTGTTAAATTATTGTATAACCTTTTATAACTTGAATAACTCTGTGGGAAGATGATGCTGACATACAAAGCCCCTCAAACATACATCAACAAGAAATTATTTACTAGACGAAGAGGCACACATCATATAAAACATACACTTCACAGGAGGGGTTCCTGCATAGCAGGAAAGTTGCTACCACTACATAACAAATGGCTATGCCAACAGTCAAGGCTGCCACTAGAGGGTACAATATTAGAATTCCCTTAAAATCTCAAGGAGTGTTTGCAATAGCACAGAACTCTTTTGGAGAATAAGTACGTGTTTTGTTTGGATGAATAGTTTTCAGTGGAAAATTTGAACATCATGTACGTACATCAATTTTCTAATTGGGTAAGATTTAAGGCAATGCTACTCAGACCTGAGGAAAAAATCCACAAAAGTTTATATTTTTCTTCAGAATTATTAATAGGTCAGAATCAACATCAAAAAGTATTCCCCTTTCAAGTATTCATTGTACCTATAAGTATTTTCAGCATTACAAAATAGAATTCACTTTCATACTATGAATATGAAATGGGAAATTGTTCTGTGCTCTTCCTTGAAAACTGTGGAAAAAAATACATGGCAGCTTAGGTGTTTAATATTAAAAAGTAACATGACAATGAAGACAACTATACCCACTGCACACAAAGGAGCCTCCTTACAATAAATGCTCCAGAGCATTGCAATTCTCTTATGACTGCCTTTGATGTAGTATGGGATGTTCATGAATTCATAAATTAACTTTTAACATCAACTACAGACTAACAAATGACAATTAGATACAGTAAGTTTAAAAATTTTACATTTTGCTCCTGTTCGGCTGCTAAAGAGCAGCGATTTAAATTGATATAAAAACTTGTGACAACAAAGCTTGCTATACAGATAAAGTACATAATCAAAAATTAAGCAGCAATTAAATTTCTTATTTAAACTTATCTGGTATAGAATATTTACATATTTGGGAAGAGAGACCTCTAACACCAATTACTCCCTTCTTGCCCTCTGTCCCCTCTCCACCTGCCCCAGCCCCTCCAAATCTAAATCAAGTGCCCTGAACTATATACACCTGTACTTTGGCTAAGCCAGCTGGATGCAACTCCACGGTCTTGGCCTAGAGGAAAAGAAATAAGGTCTTGGAGGTCATTTGCAGCCTTCTTTTGAAACACCAGTGTATTGTAGTTAATGAATCTGTTCTTTCACAGCAAAGGGGGGGGGGACAGCCCCATACTTCACTCCAACTTCACTCTGCAACCTGAGTGGGGCAAGATCAAAATGTCATCAGCTCCTTACACCACAATAGGCCACAAGAGAAAAGGGAAAGAAAAAGGTCATGACAAAGGCAGCAGCAATCAACAAAAGCGTCCCAACAAAGGAACCTCTCCTCCCTGGGTTCACTAGGAAATAACACTTCCCTCCTTCTTCTCCCCCCACCCAACCACACACACACAAATTAATTCACATCACAAGAACTCGGTACTCCTGCTAAGTGTCAGGTAAATAGAGTAAATCCATCACTTTTTATACTTTAACTGAGACATAAAGCTAACAGAACACACAACATCACTGTGAAAGTAACTTTCTAAAACAGATCCAGCCTACATAGTGCAGCCAGCAAAACTTAAAAGAATAGTTTGTTAACAATCTGCCTTGTACAGGATAGTTATATTCTTTCTATGCCATATAAATAGCATTTATATAGCTTACACATTCAGAGACATGCACTAGGACTTTTTAGGTAGTACAAATTTCTTCACAATCACATGTGCAAATTTTACAAATCACTAAGTGAATATTAATAAGCTTAGGCTGGGCTGTGTCTCGTATCCTCTAATGAATTTAATGCGGGTTCAGAATCATCCATAGGCAGAACCAGGCGTGTCCCACGAATGACCAGCTCGTGGTCCCCAAATGCAAGCTCACGATCCAGGGCATCTTCAGAACTGTTGCCCAAGAATCTCCTAGGGGCACTAGATGTTGTCGATTCAGTGGTCACAGTGGAATCCCCGTATGTCAAGCTGATATCACCATCATTGAGAATAAGATCAGAGTCATCATCCTTCAATTGTTCTTGGTTCTAAATGCAAATAAAATAAAATTCAGAATTGTTAAGAAATTAAAGAATCATTTCCAGTAGGAGAATTTTTAAACATTCCCTATTTAAAACTCTTCAGTGGCCCAATGCCCTCAAGATAAGGTTTAATTGTCCCTACAATGCCTTAAAAGACAGTGTGACTTGGGAGCTGGGACTGTGGTTCAGCAGAAGCACACTTGCCTGGCATGTGTGAGACACTGGGTTCGATCCTCAGCACAACATATAAATATATAAAATAAAGGTCCATCAACAACTAAACAAAAAAAAAAGGACAGTGTGACTTGTCCCCTTCAGCCTTATCTTCTGACACAACCTGCATCTCATACCCCAACATCCCCAATGTATATAGTGCTGCCAGTTGCCCAGATGTCTTCCAAGTCTCTCTTACCTCCACATCATTCTACATGTTGTCCTCTCTGCCCACTTCATGTGACTAGCATTTATTTATAATTTTCTCCTGGAAGTCATCCTTGATCTTCCAGGTCTAGGTTAGGTGTCCCTCCTGTGTGCTTTTACAGCATCCCATTCCTGGACCCCTTCCCTGAAATAGCACTTGCTCTTTCACATATTGGTCTGCCATCAAGGGTCTTAGGGTCTAGGATGAGAGGGGGAGGAGCACACTGATAAACACATGGTTATGATAAAAGACTTGATGCTATCTAGTCCAACCACCTCACACAGAAATACGAAATCCTCACTGCATACTTGTCTCCCAGCTCCATAAGCTCTGGTTATAATGGAAAGTTTGTGGCAAAATAGCATACTTAATAAAGTTCTACAAGAGGGAAAAGAAATCAAGAATGTATAGTCCCATTTTGGTAAATAAAAAACATGTGAACACACAGAAAAGTCTGGAATGGTATTCAACATTAACTCTGTAAAAACAGAATTACTAGTGAGTTTTATTTTATTTATATGTTCCTATACTGTTGGACATTGGCTGTTTCCAGGAATTTCCCAAACAACTAAGATAAACAAATGTGGATTGAAAAATATTATCAATAGCCACCAACTAAACCAAATCACTTTTTCCCTATCCCCTAATGTAGTTATAAGTAATTATAAGTTTAACTAGTTTCTGTCACTTAATAATACTTACAACAAAGGGTTTTAGCTCCTTCACAGGACAGCACAGGCTCTATGGCACTTCCTAATGTTTTCATTAAGTTTGAGGTCTAGGGAAATATCTACCAAATTTTAAAATATTGACCCAGCAATTTTATCTTTAAAAGCAATTCTATATATTTTCATATCCTTGAGTAAACTGGCATGTAAAAGAATATGTAAAAATATATTTGCTGTATTATTTGTAATAGCAAAAAAAAGAAGAAACTTAAATGTCTATGGGAGACTGAGTTAATCAATTTAGTATAGCTACAAATGGAATACTATATATTCATAAAAAAGAGAAGGTAACAGCTCTAATGTACCTAATGAAAAGCCATCAATGATGTAGCAGCAATTGAAAAAAGCAAGTAGTGGGACAGTACACCTATTACAACCCCATGTGTATAAAACAAAGCTATACACACATATAAGTGTGTATAGATAGAGCTGGATGTAGCTTAGCGTTAGAACAGTTGCCTAACATGTGTGAGGCCTTGAATTTAATCCCCAACACTGCAAAACACTGAATAAATTAAACATTTAGAAAAAAATATATCAGTAAGTATCTATAGTAAACCTTTAATGAAGACTGTTTCTAAGGAATTAGGTAGGAGGAAAATGAATTCTTTCACTTTGTACATTCCACAGTTTAAATATTTAGCTATGAGCATATTGATTTAATAACTTACAGAAGTAATTAGCAGGTTGAGGTTGTGGCTCAGTGTTAACAGCACTTGCCTAGAATGTGTGAGGCACTGGGTTAGATTCTCAGCACCACATATAAATAAACAAATAAAATAATGGTCCATTGACAACTAAAAAAAAACATTTAAAAAAGTGATTAACAACAAAAATATATTAGAACAACAAGGTTTATGGCTATAATGGGTTAAATTTTATTCCCCCCAAAAGATACTGATGACCTAACCCTTGGTACCTATGAATATGACCTTGTTTGGAAACAGGATCATATTTAGAAATAAGGTGGGCCCTGATCCAATGATGCTTATCCTTATGAAATTTGGATACAGATTGGTGCATATGGGAAGACATCATGTGGAGATGAAAGCTGAGAGTAAAGTGATGTATCTGTAAGTGATGGAATGCCACAGACAGCCCGCAAAGCAAAGCACAAGAGAGAGGCCTAGAAGGAACCAGTCCTGCCCTTACCTTGACTTTAGACTTCTAATCTCAAGAACTCTTAAGGTATGTCTATCATTTAAGCCATTCAATTTGTGGTACTTTGTTACAGTAGCCCCAGAAACTCCTATAGTGATGCATCACATTTTCTTATAGTCCACAGGACACACAGTTGTTGTGGACCTTTGGATTCTTGGTGATGGCAAGAGGGATGCTAGCCAAACCTCACTGCCTGAACCAACAGAGCAGGCTGACAGTTCTGTACAGAATCAAATGGGCTACCAGGGCACATCAGAAATGGACAATGCTTGAGAGGGGAGTCCAGGCAATGTAGGAAAGAGATAAAGCAACATGGGGTGTTCTTCCCACTCTGCCAGCAGTCTGTCAAAAATACGCACTCACTCTAAACAAAGCTATAGGGTACTCCCACTCCCACCACCCAACCTGGCCCAGGTGCCACCCCCATGCTGCCTACTTCATCCCACCCATTTCCTGTAGGATCTGCTTTGCCATGCCACAAAGGAAGCTGCGAGCAACTGGAGGGTACATGTCTACACTGCTTCCCTACAGCTTCCCCTCTCTCCACTCAAGATCCTGGGTGTTGTGTCTGAGTAGCCAAAAATGGTAGGCTTTGTTGATAGGAGAGCCCACTGGATGCCCCAGATTATTTCTGAATGGTTGGTTTAGAAACAAAGATTTAAAGTTAAAATGTTCACATTGCAAAAACAGTGGCTATTTAGCATATCTCTCACTTTTTTCTTAGTTGGGAAATTTACCAAATCACCAATCATATGCTGGTCTGCATAAATGCAGAATCTAGATTCTGTCTAGATCTGTCCCTGCCTTCCAACAATGTGAACACAGGGCAGAAAAACCTTCTCAGATATCCAAAAGTTGGTAGGTATGAAACAAAACATCTGTTGCACTTCAGGAGCAGCATCAAAATTGTTTTAAAATTCTCTCAACATAACTGTGGCAACCCTAACACGCAGACGAAAACATACATTTAGTGCTAAACTTGGGCCACATTGCTACCAAAAAATGAAAGCTGGCATGGGAATAGAATGACGTAGCAACATCACCTAAGTAAGATGAGATAAATTCTATATCTGTTATCAAATGATATTTGAAAGGCCATGAATTATATTTGTAGATTTCAGTGTATTTTTTGGTTGAGCAAAGTATGCTTAAATTTCTTCTGAGGGATTTTATACTTCAAAGGCCAAAAACTAAACCAAAATAAAACAAAACCAGAAACCCACCCATAAAGCAGCTAAATTAAACTTGCTAAACAGTTCAGTTGGTGGATAAAAATCACTTACTTCATAAGCCTGGGGACTGGTTAGGCATCTGGCGATGGGCCCGCAGCAGTTGGGGAGTGTGGTGGTGAGAGGAGGCCCACTATGAGTCAGCAGAGGCTTCAGGTAGCTGTGAGTGGTTAAGGAAGGGCTGCGCTTTTTCCACACATTCAAAAAACAACTCAGTTAATGACAGTTATTATCACAGTATACCAACCATCGACCACTTTGGAGGTTAACAAAGGGCTTTCACATATGCAATCTCATGTTGTCATCACATGATGCCAGTGAGAAAGCAAAGGGAGACCTTTTTATCATCTCTATTTCACAGATAGGAAAACTGAGCCTCAGAGAGGTCAAGGACTTGCCTAAGTCACACAATTAAGAAAACAGAAACTGATCTACTAATCAAAATTGGCCTGATTTCCAATTATGTGCCCATTCTACTACATCATATTGCTTTTCTGATTTTACCAAAAGTAAAAGGAACATAAGGTCACTCTAAATTTGGCACTGAAGGAAGCAAGGGAGAAAATAAAGAATGATAATTTTCAGAGAGGAGATTAAATATTTTAATAGTACACAAGTAATAAAAATGTTTTTAATAATTTACTGTGGATTCAAGTGGCCTCCTGAACACTCTAAGTTGAACTTCAGTATCAGGTTGAATCTTTTCCTGTAAAACTGTAAGGAGGTAAGGAAAGTCAATTCCTAAGACATTTAAATAAACTATGAATAATGAACGCCTCTACTATAGACCCTCATTTCAACAGATAAAAACGGATTGATAATATATGATACTCAGAAGAAAAAGAGGAAATCACAAGAAAAAGGAGGGAGAAAGGATATAGACATATATATCATATTCCCCACATGCTTTTTTTTTTTTTTGTGCTACTGCGGATTCAAACCCAGGGCCTCACAATTGCTACGCAAGTGTTCTACCACTGAGCTGGATCCGCAGTCCCCCATTTTCCCCATATGAGAACATGGACTGGGGATATAGCTCAGTGGTAGACTTCTTACCCAGCATGCACAAAGCCCTGAGCTTGATCCCTAGCACCCCAGGGGTTGGGGCAGGGGAAGAATATGAAGCTAAGATAGTTCTTAATTAAAAATGGGAAAGTCAGGGGCTGGGGTTGTGGATCAGCAGTGAAGCACTTGCCTAGCACATACGGGGCACTGGGTTTGACCCTTAGCACCACATAAATAAATTAATTAAATAAAGTATTGTGTCCAACTACAACTAAAAAAATATTTAAAAAAATGGGAAAGTCACACAAAATTTTTGATTTGCCATATTACTAAATTGTAAGTAAAGATTAAATTTTCAACATAAATATACTTTATAAAATATCTGGCCACACAAAGCCAATGAAAAAAACTAGAATGATAAATTCTACTAGTACAGAAATGTCTAAGTCTGTGTCCAATGGCACTGAGTAGGATACTATTAAGGCTAGCAAGTTGTGGTGTTACACTCTCTGAATAAATTCCTTAGGAGAATTTGCCAAAAGAATAAAAACAAGAAAAACTTGCCAAATAATTTTGACAAAAGAATCAAGAAAATCTGAATAGTCTTCTATTAAAAGATAAAAAAAACCATCCCATATAAAAAGAAAGAGGTCCAAATAACTTCAATACCAATCTCATATTGACTCCTTCAGAGAACAGAAGAACAAATACTCCCCAACTTATTTTAAGGTCAGCATAATATTGCTATATAAACCTAATAAAGAACATTACAATTTTAAAAATCACAAGCCAATATCTCCCACAAAAGCAAACACAAAATACTAACAAACTAAATCCAATGACATATACAAAAGGTAACATATCACGATCAAATGGGATTTTTTTTCCAGCAAAGCAAGAATGATTTTATATTCAAACAACTGATCAATGCAAATCAGCACAATGACAGGTTAAAGGAGAAAAAAAATCATGTCATCAACTAAACTGATGCAGGAAAAACATAAATAATACTCAATGTCTATTCATGATAAAACTCTCAGAAAACTAGAAATAAAAGGAAATATTCTTAATTTCCTAAAGGTTACATTATACTTCATGGTATAATACTGAAAAATTTCTCCCTGAGATAAGGAATAAGACAAGAATGTCATTATCACCACTCACCTTCAGCTATGAGCTGTAGAGGTCCAGCCAATGTATTAAGACTCAAAGAAGAAATACAAGGGCATCAAGAATACAAATAACAATAAATACTGGAGAGGATGTGGAGAAAAAGAAACTTTTAAACTGTTGGTGGGGCCATAAATTAATACAAACACTATGAAAATCAGTATGGAAGTTTCTAAAAAGACTAGGCACTAGACTCACCTATACCAATCCTTGGTATTTATCTTAAAGAATTAAAAATCACCATACTATAGTGATTAGTGCATACCCATGTTTATAACAGCACAACTAACAATAGCCAAAAAATGGAATCAGCCTAGGTTGGATACAGAAAATATGGCCTATATACACAATGGAGTTTTACTTAGTCATAAAGAAAAATGAAATTATGTCATTTGCAAGAAAATGGATGAAATCTGAGAACATTATATTAAGCAAAAAAAAAAAAGCTAAACTCAGAAGGGCAAGGGTTATATATGCTTTCTCTCATATGTGGAAGCTAGAGAGGGAAAGGGAAAAGAAATGTGAAGGGATTACATGAAAACTAAAGAGGGATAAGTAGAATAGAAGAAAGATACAGAAGGTAGGGAGGGAAAAAAGAAATACAGGCCATATATATTGTTATGTTTTGTGCATGTACAAATGTATAACAGCAAATTGCAGCATTATGTACAACTATAATGCAAAATAAATGTAGAAAAATAACAAAAAAAGAAATACAAGAGCTTGTAAAATAAAAAATAACACATCATTATTCATAGATCACTCAAATCGTGTATGCAGAAAACCAAAAAGAATCTATAACCCACTAGAAATTGTAAGTGAACTTTAGTAAGACAGCTGGACATAGGATCAATACATAAAATCCAATTATATGTATAACAATAACAAACAGAAAATGAAACAAATACCATTTGCAAAAGCATCAAATACTAGAAAATGGGGAGAGAGGCTGTGTTCATGAATTGGAAGTCTCACATTGCTAAGATATCAGTTCTTTCCAGTAGGTTTTTTTTTTTGCTTATTTTTAGCAAGACACAAAATGTATAAATTGACCAGATATTTCTAAAATTTAAAGGAAAATGCAAGGGGGCCTAAAATAGCTAAGGTAGTACTAGAGAAAAATAAACCTACATTTACTCTACAGTAATTAAAAAGTGTGATTGATATAAAAATAGAGAATAGAAAGTTCAGAAATTGGCCCCTACTTATATGGCCAAGTGATTTACAACAAGGATTCCACTGCAATTTAATGGGAGTAATGATGGTATTTTTAAAAATATTTTTTAGTTGTAGATGGACACAATCTCTTTATTTTTATGTGGTGTTGAGGATCAAACCCAGGGCTCATGCATGTGAGGCAAGTGCTCTACCACTGAGCTACAACCCCAGTCCAGTAATCATTAGTATTTTTAATAAATGGTGCTAGATCATTTGGATATCCATATTGGAAAAAAACGTAGATATTAACCATAAGCACCTCGCACTACAGGTAAATATTAATTTGTGCTAGGCATGGTGACACATGCCTATAAATCCCAGTTACTTGGGAGGCTGAGGCAGGAGAATGGCAATTTCAAGGCCAGTCTGGGCAACTTAGAGAGACCCTGTCACAAAATAAAATAAAAAGGCTGCCTATATAGCTGGGGATTGAACCCAGGGCTTTGTATATACTAGGCACTGCAAAAAAATTAATTTGTGATGGATCAAAGACCTAAAGATGATGCTAAAACAGTCACACTTTTAGAAGAAAATGGGAAATATATATTCATAACCTTAGGATGAAAAACACTAGCCACAAAAGAAAATACTACAATGGACTTCATTAAAATGCAGAACTTCTGTTCTTCAAAAGACAGGATCCAAAAAATGAAAAGGCATGCTACAGATTAAAAAGACATAATCCATAAAATCATCAATAAACTTAATTCAGGAATATAAAAGAACTATAAGTAAATAGGAAAGAGAAAAGACAAAGACATCTAAAAGATGTACAAAAGCCATCTGAAAAGATGCTTTTACCTGTATCAGAGAGAAATGCAAAGTAAACTACTGGATATATCACTATATACTCAGCAAAATGGCTAAAATTCAAAAGGCTGATAAATACCAAGTTCAAGCAAAGAAGTGAAACAACCAGAACTCCCTTAACTTGTTACTGGGTGTAACGATGAATTTATCAAATTGGTTACAACCACACTGGTTAAAAACACTCCAGAAAACTGGTTGGCAGTATGAATTAAAGCTAAACATATATTTGCCCCAAATTCTACTTTTTGGTATACACCCAAAAGAAGTGAGTGCTTATATCCACCAAAAATATACATATATTCTAAAATATTAATTTTATTTGTTATGGCCAAAAGCATTTTCAAATGTTTATTAACAGTAGGATGGTTAAAAACAAAAACAAAAATCATATAATATATTCATACCTTGGAACACTACAGAGCCATAAAAAGAATGAATCACTGTTACATGCTACAACATAAATAAATTACATAGAGGATACTGAGCGAAGGAGGTAAAACACAAAAGAATACATAATACATGATCCATTTTTGTGGATATCAAGAACAGATAAAATGTTATTCATGCTGACTGAAGTCAGAATCATGGTTACCCCTTTCTGGGGGTGGCAGGGATGATGTTACTATTTCAAAGGATCATAGGGAACCTTCTATGGTGCTGGAAATGCTTCTATATAGCTTTATATGGATGGTGGGCACACAGGTGTAGATATAGGTCAAAATTCATTAAGCTAAACATTTAAGACTCATGTACTTTATTGTATTCCAAGTTATACCACAATTTTAATAAATAATCCAGTTGTACCCAAGAGAACCAAAATCTAGAATGATGAATAATTAATTCTCCCAGGGCACCAGGTATTAACATGACCAGATTTTGTGTAGTACTTAATAGGGTAGTACTGAATCAAACAAGTCTTCATGTTTACTTCTATAAGAATATTTTTTAAAAAGCTGGTATTCTTTCTGTACATTAAGATCATTTGTTTGTGTATAATGCAGAAAATGTACAAAACAGTTTATGCAAAAGATGCTAAAATAATTGTTAAATCAGAGGGATGAAAAGCCCCAAGAGGTATGCAAAGGGCTTATATCCAAAATGCTGATAATAGAGCCAAAAGTAATGACATAATCTTTAAACTATTTTAAAGAGCCAGGCTGTCTCCCTCCCTAATGGGAGTCTTAATACCACAGATATGCTTGCATTCTTGTTTCCATACAGTAATTTAATTTTGAAATACTTGTAAAGAGTGAATGCAAATATCTGGTAAATAGAATATAGTAAGTAGTAGCTTCTAATCATAAGTGTCAAGTGCATTCATGTTAAGTATATGAGGCTTTGATCAGCAAACAGAACAATTTTTACATGCTTATCCCAAATTTGCTTCAATGGAACCTAAACCAAGTTTTCATTCACTTGCTAATAAATCTTAGCCTGAAATAACTCCATGGTTTCTTTTTTTCTGATTCAAATTTCAAATAAGAAAAACATCTGAACAGTAGCAAAATGTTTTTAAAGGCATGATTTAAACAAGTAATAGAACACCAACACTATTCAAAGCATAGCTATGAAGAAGATTTACAACAGGACAAGAAAATATGATCATCAATGAAAATATTTAGCTATTTGTGGCACTTTTGTGGTGCTGGGGATTGAACTCAGGGTCTGGAACATTCTAGGTAAATGTTGTACCACTGAGCTACATCCCTAAGCTTATTTTTATTTTGAGAGAGGACCTAAGTTGCCAATGCTGGCCCTGAACTTCGGATCCTCCTGCCTCAGTCTCCTGAGTAGCTAGGATTACTGGTGTGTGCCACACTTATGGCATTCTGAATGTACAGTTGAGTCTCCTGGTCTTTGAAAAGGCCAGGGAAGAAAAGGCATGTCCCTGCATACTGTAGTAATCGATCAGTACTGAAGTTTTATTCCATCTCCATGTTTTCCCCTAAGGCAGCCTTTCCTAGTCCACCCTAGCAAGTACCCCAACTAGAACAAACAAATACCTTTTATATGATTCACTAAGTTAGCTTAAGGACAACAAATATTAAAATTTGCTCAATAAATAAACCTATATATTGAAGAAAGTATGACATCTGGGCTCTTGATTCCCTCCATATAACCGGCCTTTACAATAACTAGTACCTACTGGTTTCCTGGGTGTGCAGAGGCATTCAATTGTGTGAATTTCCTCCTTCACACACTGATGAAGAAAGGGAAGACTATAGGTTAGGTTTTACATTCCACTTCCAGAAAGCAACTGTCAAAACAGTTGTTCTGACACTAGGGTTGTTCAGTAGTAGAGTGCATGCTTAGCATGTGTAAGGAAGGCCCTGGCACCATAAAACAAACAAACAAAACAATTGTTCTGTGTCCATACTATCTTTTTTTTTCTCAATGAAGGATACTTATGATCGAAGTTGTACCATATCCGGAAGAGCCAAGCACTCTCTGCTTTGGTAGTTCTCCGTTCATTTTCTGGAACACCCTGCAGAAAGATAATACAAAAATCATTATATACACAAACACATTTGTATAGAGTCCTTCCTTAGAAGAATCAGAACTAGAGCCTACAGAAAAGAAACTTTCCAACATGGGTAACATTAGAAATTTAATGGCTTGTATACAGCAGTTTTGAAGAAATTTAAATATTTGTCTGAACATCTCTATTATTCAGAAGACTTGCTAATTTATGAATCTATTGTCATTTTTAAAAGTCAGTGTAGGAAAATTCACTTTTGAAATTTGAAAGACTTATACCCCCAATGCAAAAGCAACTTAAGTAGAAAACATCATACCAACGTTCATTCCTATCTTTGGGAGTTGTCATGGGTCTCAAAAGTAACTGGCATTCAAAGTTATTATTATGTTCTTAACTCACTAGCAAAATGAAAACAAGCAGGGAAATTCCATGGTAAGCCTGATTGCTTAGGGGAGAAAATTAATACAGCAAGCAGGCTCCTTCTAAAATAGTTTCCAAAAAGATAAACTGTGTCCTTACTTGTAATATGGTATGGTCGGTAGTTGGGCAGTTAAGACTATCTGGTTCCAGTCCTGGCTCACCAATGTTAACTAACTTTTTACCTCTCCAGACTTGAATTTCTTCATGTGTAATATGTGAATGTTAGAGACTCCCCAAGGCCCTTTCTAGTGCTAGTATTCTAAGGTTCTATAATTTTCTAAGAGCGCAGAGTTTAGATTCTGGGTTTTGGTTCCTTCCTGTCTTCCCTAATTCTCAGAAGAAGTTATTATTTTCCTTGACATGGATCAGTACATACACAAAAATGTCTGAGGACAATGTGTGGGCTTATAAGTAATGAAGAACATTTTCTATATTTCCTTTCACATCACTAGGTATGGTTTTGCATACCTTCACCTTATTTATTTATTTACTTACTTACTTACTTACTGGTTTGGGGATGGAACCAGGGCTTGTGCCTGCTAAGTACGTGCTCTAACACTGAGCTGTATCTCTAGCCCACGGTATTTTGTTTTATTTTTATTTATTTATTTTGTGTTTACTTCTTGAAAAGCAATTTGTTTATAGATCTCACCACCTCCTTACCACATTAATACCTGCACATCCAACCCTCCCCACACTCCATACTTACTATAGTGCTCCTCTGTGTTTCCTTGCAGACATTTATTGAGTAAACAATATAACCAAAACATCCATGGAATTTTGAAGTCAGGGAAAAATCTTTTTTTTTTTCTTTTCTGTATATCACCACATACAGTCACCAACCTGGCTGTGTCCCTGCAATTCTGTTTCCATTTCCCCTCTGGTGACAGAGGTGACACAGCTGATGGAGCCTTATTCAGACAACAATCAAGAATTTGTCCTGTGAGCTGCATGATAACTGTATTCTGGTTTTGCCACAGGGGTGGAGGCATTGAGGAGCTATTACCACTTGGACACTAACCCAGCAGCTTGGCATGATGGGAATTTATCCAGCCTGGTTTGTTCAAGTATTTCAAGCCCATGGAATTCTACTTTAAGGCTCTGACCACAAAAGAGGCAAGTACTTACTATATCACATACACACAGGCATTCATCACTCAACAGCTAACAAAATTAGCATTTAGGAAATGAATCTGATAAATGTTTTTTTTAACTATACCCTAAAGAAAAATATACCAATGCTTATTTCAGACAAGAACAAGAATCCTGTCTTGAAGGAGATGCTGTTTTCAAAAACATAATTTCATTGATTTTTCATCTTATGTCTAATACAGAGTTACATATACAGTGGTGCTCAGAAACCATTAAACAGCAGACAGAAAATACTGAAAAAGGGTGGTTAGTCTAGAAAGTGCAGCCAGTTACACTGTGCTCAATCCAATAGGCTGGAGTTCATAGGAACAACTGAGAAACTGACACACGGAAGGAAAGAAGCAAGGAGATAAGAAAGTGCATTCTCCTGAGCAGGCAGGGAAGGCTAGTTCAACATTCAAAAGCTTCTAGGCAGTTCTCAGGGGCAGCTGCTGGTCATCCAATTTGAAAGTTACACAGGAAGAGCAGCTGGAGTGAGGCTGACATCAGAGACAAGCCTTCATGCGCAAACCAAAGTGGAAAAAGGCTCCCTGTGCCAGAGCAGTCACTTGAAAACCCAGGAGTGCTTAAAAGACTACTCCCCTCTGTGGCAAAAGCCCAGGATGGACTACAGATAGGAAACCTGCCACTCTTGATAACCACAAGCTAACTAAAATGTGGTTTTGTCTCTATGGAGTAGTGAGAAAAGCCAGGAATGAAGTCAGTTAAAAGCTGAGGCAGACAACACAGGATCTAAATAGTGACATGAAGTCTACAGGAGGCTGTTTTCTTTCCAAATAGCTGTACACTTGACAGAAATGCCAGGGACAACACAAATGCATATTTACCAAATGTTCTTGGTCTGAATCAACACCAACCCTAAAGGAAAAACACAAAGAGCAAGTGAGATTTTGAAGCCAAAAAAAGGCCTAGTCACATATGTACATTGTCAGGAAACTACATTTCTCAACACAGAAGCTATGGAATGGTTAATGTTTTCTTACCCTCTACGGTTGTTGATATACATTTTTGGCTCCTGACACTTTCCTTAGCAACAGCTTGGATTCTAAGGCAAGCAGGGTGAAGAATTCTATTCCTGTAATCCCCCTCACCAGTGTCAGTAAAATACCATTTCTTCTCTGAATGTAAGTCCACTCTAAGCAGAGTCAGGGAGAGCAACACTGCCCAGTTGTTGAATAAGAACTAGAGGAAAGTTCCCAAAACAAGGCTGGCACAATGCAATTCCAGGAGGGAGTTGCACGTTTGGGGACCTTGCAACTTTCATGGCAATATTTTGTTATGATGATGGAAGAGAAGGTCCAATTTCAGTTTTTTCATAGGCTAAAGAACAGACATTAGTCTTGGTTCTTCAAAATTTGTTTTTACCTGTGCTTCCTGGGGAACAGCTTCATTAAGAAGTTCTTGTGACTCTTCTACTCACCAACTCTGTTCTTTCTTCCTCTACCCTGCCCCTCAGGTTTCCTATCCTTGCCACCCCAGCTGCTACAGCATAAGCCCTTGTTCTGACTCACAGGGCCTGGAGTATAAGTCTTTCCATCACCAGGCTCTCCCCTAAAGTAAGTGTCTAATGTACACAATTTGTTGGTCACTCCCTTCACAGAACACTCAGAGTAGTTTGCAATCCAAACGGGCAAGTCAAAAAAAGCTCTTTGAATGGCATTCAAGATTCTTGACAAACTAGTGGCCACCTCACCCTCCAGCCTACCTTCCCACCCTCATTCCCCACCATTCTCTTCTAAAAAATGCCCACCAAGTCCTCCCCAAATCCTTGTCCTTTCGGGACCTCCATACCTTCACTCATGCAATTCCCTCTAGCTGAGATGTGCTTTCCCTCATTTTCCTAGTTGTCTACTAAGTTACAAAGTAACTGTTCTATGACCCCTCCAAGCAGAATTTTCTCCTCTGTGCTTCAGCAGCACTTCTTAAGAGTCCTTGGTTATAATACTTAGCACAGTAGAGTATAGTTATTTACCTGTCAGTCTCCCCAAAAAGACTGTGAGCTCCTTGAGGGTAAAGGCCATGTCTCAATTCATCTCTGTATCCCCAGAGTCTAGCACAGTACCTGACACACAATAGGTGCTCAAATGTTTATCAATTAAGTTAACTACTACAGACAAAACACACAAAACAGCAGTATGAAAAGCTGTAGCAGCAGCACCCCCAAAGACAAGTAATACTCAAGGGAGGAAAACGACGCTAAGACACCTCTGGTAGGTAAGGTTGTCATGATCAAGTAATTGAAAACAGATGGCCATGAGAAGATTCAAAATTCAAAGAAAGGCTCATTTTTACTTTGTTAAAAATGGGCAGATGCTGTTTAAGGTCTTCTCAGTCACATTAAAGTCTAACCACATTTATGCATCTCGAGTGACATCTAGTGGTCTTGAAGATAGTACATTTATAATGTTCAAATGGTTCCTTTCCTGAAGCCAATACAATGTAATAAACATTTATAGAGCACTTATTATTTGCCAGGCACTGTGCTAGGCACACGGCATAGACATGAATTAAACATGGTCCCTGCCCTCAAGGAGCTCACGGACTAGTGGGGGAAACAGACACAGAGCAGAATTGCTAAGGGCTTGCTGTCAGGGAACACTAAGTTCAAATGAGCACCTGGCTACCATCTAGCTGTATGAATTCAGTCAAGTTATGTGGTCCTATGGACCATAATTCTATCATTTGGAAAATAGGGCTAGTATCTACCACAGAGAGTTGCTGCAAGGATTAAATGAGAAATAAGTATCAAAAGCTTTTAAGAAGGGAATAAAATCTACAGAGTTATGCTATATCGATGTACAAATGTACCACAATGCATACTGCTTATATAATGATAAAACACTAATTAAAAAATAATGACAGAAGGGAGATTGGTAGAGTAAATGGATTGAGTTAGGGAGAAGGGAAGGGAAAGGGAAGGTACTAGGGAAGAAGACTGAACAAATTATGTGCAGGTATGATTAGGCATAATGAAACCCACTATTATATATAATTATAATGCGTAAACAAAAATTTAAGAAAAGAGTGTCTGATGCATCTTTAATGCTAAGTGGTAGCTCTTATAACAAGACTATATTATTACATAAAACAAGACTGCATTATTACATAATTAAATGAAATAAGTGCTATAATAGAGAAACCCAACGTTAAGGAGTGGTTCTGAGAGAAAGGAACAGGGTGCAAAGGAAGAGACGCTTGGCTGTGTCACTGGGAGTGACATAGAATTCCAGCCAGAGGGAACAGTAAGAGCAAAGGCTCAGAGACAGAGAAATGCAAAGCAAGTGCAGTAGATAGGGAGCCAAATGTGACTGTCATAAATTATGTGAAAGGACACAGGAATGGCTGGCTGACTCTAATTCACTGAGGATTCACTTGTTATGAGACAGTTGAAGTGCTCCTTTACTACTGTAAATTAGATCATGTCATTCCCCTCATTTTAATATCCTCAGAGATTTCTAATTTTATTTTAAAATCCACTCTCTTCACCACATCTTACAAGACCTTACAGCAGGGGTTTACAAACTACAGCCTACACACCCCTCTGTTTTTATCAATAAAGTTTTGTTGGAACACAGCCACACCAATTACATAGTTATCTATGGCTGTTTTCACACCAGCAATGAGCGGCTAAGACAGAGACCATATGATCTGCAAAGCCAAAAACCTTTCCTCTCTGTCCCTTTATGGAAGTCCGGAGATCCCTACTCCCATGGAATCTTGCCCTCCTCATTTCTACCTACTGTTCAAATCACTATGCCCCCACTATATAAGCTTTTGTGTTTATCTAACAGGCCAAGTTTATTTCTGCCTTGGCATCTGCACTTGCTTCTCTCTGCCTGGACTGCTCGTCTTCCTGATCATTGTTTGACAGTATCTTGTCACTCAGGTAGACTGAGCTCTAACATAACCTTTCGGAGAAAACTTCCTTGACCTTTTCATATACCCCCATTCCCAGTGAGTATCAAAGTACCTTCTTTGACTGACATCACATTTAATACATCTAAATTTGTCATGTTCATTTGTTTACTAATCTATTGCCTATCTTTTCCCACTAAAGTACACACTTTACAAGATCAGGCGTATTATCATTACCACTGCCCTTCTCTAGGGCTTTTAAAAAATATATCTTTTTAGTTGTAGATGGACACAATATCTTTATTTTGTTTATTAATTTTTATGTGGTGCTGAAGATCGAACCCAGTGCCTCACATGTGAGAGCGGTCTACCACTAAGCCACAACCCCAGCCCTAGAGCAGGGCTTTTTAACCTTAGCATTATTGATATTTTGGCCCAAATAATTCTTTGTTGGCAGGTTGGGGGATGACCTTTCCTGTGCATGATAGGATGTTTACCAGTATCCCTGGCCCCCACTCAGCAGAAACCTGTAGAAGTCCCCTCTCCCAGTTGTGACAATCAAAAATGTATCAAAACACTGCCAAATGTCTCCTGGTGGGCAAAATGGTCCCTGGCTGCAAATCACATGTGCTTGACACATGGCTGGTGCTCAGTGATTCATCAAGTGAATGGACAAAGACACATTTGAAAGGCTATGCAAAGAGCTTTGTAGACATAAGCTCACTGAATCCTAACAACCACCCTAAGAGGTAGCTACTAAGATGGACATGATACAGATGAGGAAACAGGCTTTGAAAGGTTAAAGAACTTGCCAAAAATTGCAGAATTAGTAAGAAGGGGCAAAAACTTAAAACCAAGTTTAAGTGTGCATGCATCTTCAACTTTGAGAATACCTCAGTATTTTCAAAATTATACTAGGCAAATTGGGAGGGTGGGAAGAGAAGCTTAAAACACTGCCTCTGTCACAAAGAGGCTGAAAAACTCAAAACAAAAAACAAGAAGTTATCCAAGACTATAAGGCAATGTATTTAATTGCATTCCATTCATGTTACAAAATGCGCAAGATGGGGCCAGCCAGAGAGGTTTCAAAGCTAGTGACACAGATTAAGCTCTATGTGAGTAGCTAGATTTTTTATTTTGCTTTTTTCTTGGCAGGGATAGTAAAGTATAGGTATTTTGTTTAGTTTTTGTGGAGGGAAAAGAACTGATTCTCCTTAAACCTGAGACTCTTTACCAAAGAGTATTACTTTTCCTAAATTATCTTACATTTAATTTTGTTCTCCTTAGGAGAGTCTTCATTTATAAGCCATTGAGAAAAGAAAGGAACTTAGTCCTTTTGAAATGTACTACTGTTAATTTTTTATGCATTGTGGTACAGAAGAAACTAAATAAAACCAGAGGCTCCTCTGTCCACCATTTAATTTCATATATATCACCTTAGACAACTAAGAATCTTTCTAAGTCTCTAATTCTTCATTTGTAAAACAGTTTCTATAATTAGATAAACAAATACAGTTAGCACAATGCCTAGCACATAGTAGGTGCTCAATAAATTCCAGGTCTTCCTTGAAGCAATAATGTCTGTAAGAACATTAGGGTTATAAAAACATATGCTACAGTATATTGTCTACTACACATAATAACAACACAGAGATTATTAAAAAGGGGATTTGGATAGCAAAGAAAATAAGATGGCAATAACATTTAAAGTGTTATTCAAGGCTGGTTGGTCTTTACAAAATTAAAAGAAAGGCATGACAGAACGGAAAAAAAAAGAACAGATTCTATAAAATGTGAAATGTTTTCTCTAATGAACCTTCATATTCTGGAAGCCTGGTAACCCTTAACATCTATGAAGTTTTAGCCAAACAGAACTAAAATCTACAAAGGCTTCAGCAACACAGGCTGCTGTATCCATGGAAACAAATGTAGAACTCTTGAGATACAAGACAGCTTTCAAATTGAATACATTAAGTAGTACACATTGAAGACTAAGGCCTCATGATCTTGGCCTTGGTTTGTTAGGTTAGAAACAGTGGTGATCATAAACATGAGAAAGAATGATAACATCTATTATGGATTAGGGCTGGGGTAAATTGGATTGTCTCACACACTATAAATGAATCCAACCTGGTAATATGACTGAACACCTTAAACATATGCATATCCTTCTTTTTGGTATTGGGAATTGCACCCAGAGCTGTATTTACCATTGAGCTGTATTCCCAGCCCTTTTTATTTTGAGGCAGTGTCTAGCTAAATTGCTGAAGGTGGCCTCAATCTTGTGATGCTACTGCCTTGGTCTCACAAGTCACTGGGATTATAGGCATGTGCCACTATGCCCAGCCATGCACATCCTTTAGGTTAAGCAATTCCATTTCTAGGAAGCATCCTACAAATAACTGCAAAGAGGTGTACATACTTAAGAAGGTTCACATTATTGACAGTAACAGCAAAATCCTCAAACGGTAATGGCAACAGGAAAATTTTAAACTCAATACAAAAATCCAACAATAGGAATTTAAAAAAATTTTTTGTAGTTATAGATGGACAGCATGCCTTTATTTTGTTTATTTATTTTTATGTGGTACTAAGGATTGAACCCAGTGCCTCACACGTGCAAGGCAAGAGCTCTATCACTGAGCTATAGCCCCAGGCCTAACAACAGGAATTTGATTTAAGTACTTCCGGATATATGCCGCCATTCAAATAATGATATGAATTCACACTATATTACGTTTAACAAAATAAGTCTACAAGAGTACCCTTAGTATTGCACATTTTTGTTCAAAATACATACATTGCCTAGCAAAAGATCTGAAAAGATATCCTTCAAAGGGTTAACGATGGTTTTTATTTACTTTTGTTTTACATAGTTTCATTTTTCTGTACTATATCTTCTATGCTTTTTAAAAGGAAAAAAAATGACACATTACAGAGTCACCAAAGTTTAAAATCTTCTCATGACTAAAAGAAAAATAAGCTGAATTAAAATATCATATTAAAATGAGGCCTCCAGTTCCTACTTACCTTATATGCAAGCACGACAGCATGGCAGTGGTACCACCACCAAATACCCACACGGTAAAAAACACAATAAGAAGCGTGGTGCTGAACATCATTTGCCGAGCATAAGTGGCAGTGTCTCGAATGGCCAAAGCAAATGCCATTGCACCACGAAGGCCTACAAAGGAATGGAAGAGGTATTCTTCAATAATGCATCACCAACATGAGCTTCATAAAATCAGAGATATAAAGCATGTCCTAAAGCTTAGAAGCAGGTGAACAAATATGAAATAAATATTAATATAGCTAAATATATACAAATAGTAAGAGAATTAGCATGATACTGACATGTATTGATATTTTAATTCTTTAAAATTTATATTTTAATTTATGTGAAGAGGAATAGTCAGCTGACCATGAACTAAGACCTCTGAAACCATAAGACAAAATAAACTTTTCCTCTTCTAAGTTATTTTTGTCAGATATTTTGGTCACAGTGATGAAAAGCTAACTAACACAAATAGTTTTCTCTTTTTGCAGCTAAGTAGTATTCCATGACATAAATGTATCATGGTTTGTTCTTCCATCTACTCATAAAAAATACATGTGGGTTGTTGCCAAGTTTTTGGTAATTATGAACAGATTTGTTATAAACATTCACTTACAGGTTTTTGAGTGAAAACTGCATTCATCTTTACCTTTCTTAACTTGCATTAATATATTTTTGAACCAAAGATTTGGAAACAGAATATAAAAAAAATTCTATAGAAGGGAATAAGATACTATAAGAATTTTCACCTTGATTATGCAATGTCCATGTTTCAAAGAGTCCTTTATTAGGGACATGATTTTTCAGCTTCAAATCACATAAACTGGCATATAATCTGTGTTGTCAATGATTTCTTGGGGAAGACTAGAGAAGAAATTTTAACTTACCAGCAAACATCATCATATGTTGAAAATTTGATCCAATCTTACTTCTTCTACCCAAATTAAGTAAGAAAGATAAGGGGTAAATATTGGCAGCTCTTCCCAAGAAAATAGCAATCTAAAATTATTAATAGGTTAAGGATTATTTCTTCTTACTATTGACATTATTTAGACTATACATTTAAGACAGTCAAAAGCCATTTCAGGGAGCTCAGTTTTTAACAGTCAATCTTGATTCCATTGTCTAACACAGTGCTGTCCAACACATATTTTTGCAATGAAGGAAATTTTCTATCTGTACTGTCCAATACAATGAGCACCTAAAATGTGACAAGTGTGACTGAGGAACTGAAATTTTAATCCTTATATCATTTATTAATTTAAATTTAAATAATCACACATGGCTAATTGCTACCAAATTGGACAGTACAGGCTTAACATACAGGAAATTCATTAGATGAAGAAAAAGATGTTTCAAAGCAGAGTTTCACTACTATATATTTAACATTATTAATATAATAATTATAATTCATTTTCATTGTCAGTGTTGATAAAAATAGTAATGTTGGCTAAATTTCCCCATCCTTTCTTTTTTTTAATACTTTTATTTTGTTTATTTATTTTTATGTGGTGCTGAGGATCAAACCCAGGGCCTCATACATGCAAGGCAAGCACTCTGCCACTGAGCCACAACCCCAGCCCTACCCCATCCTTTTTAAGAACAAATGGCAGTTCAGCCACCTCACACCACTGAAAGTCCTGCAAGCCCTAATTCACCCCACTGAATCTATACTTCCAACCTGGTGCAAAGGACAGGCTTAAGGTAAGTTAAGATTGGTTTTAACTAGAAACCAATATTAGTGTCTTTTTCTCTACTTGCTCTTATACAAACTCCTGCTTCATAATTACAGTTTTTATCTCAGGGGGCACAATACAGTTCCAATACCATTTCCTAAAAGGAATATAAAGGGAAATCTAATATTGAAAACAAAGTAACATGGTAGAAACAATGCTGACCTTAGTAAACTTGGAAAAGAATGCAGCCTGTAAGATTAAAGGCAAAAGAAGCACACATACAAATGATATGTCTATTGGTAAAGTACTCCCATGGGAGTACTGGTTAACAATTCTGATACTGCTAAATGGTCATGCACCATATAATGTTTCAATCGATGACAAACTGCATACACCATAGGTCCCATAAGATTACAATGAAGCTCAAAAATTCCCATTGCCTAGTGATGCTGTAGCTGTCATAACATCAAAATATAGCACATTACTCAGAGGAAACAAACATACTATTCTGCTAGTCATTTAAAAGCATCGCAGGGGCTAAGGTGGTGGCTCAGTGGTAGAGTGCTCCCCTAGCATGCATGAGGCACTGGGTTCTATCCTCAGCACCACATAAAAACAAACTAATGTATCCACCTAAAAACTAAAGATACATAAATAAATAAATAAATATTTTTAAAAAGCATGGCACACTGGGCACGCTGATATAGCCAGGCAAGTAATGGAATATAGTTGGAGCTTAAGTATGAACTCATGTTTAGTTTAATGGAGATATAAATAGCCACAAAATGAAATATTTATAGATATATGTAACTACATCACTTAGTATATACATAGATTATTTCCTTGGTTTATCAGCTGACAGGGACTAGAATCTAGGACACTCAGTAGTGATGAGCACACCGAGTATCCAGATCTTGGTTTCTAATATCATTCTCCAATAAAAGGAATCAGGACTCCTTGAAGAAATGGTCAATTCTTAGGCTGAGGCAGAAAGGCTCAGGGAAGCTAAGGGGACAGTACTTTACTTCTGAGGTATTCATCCCAAAGAAAACATAACCCTAATCTAATCATGGGGAAAACACCAGACAAATTCCAGTTGAGGAACACTCAACCAAATACCAGGTCAATATGTCTCAAAACTGCCAAGGGTCCTTAACAACAAGGAATAGCTGAATAACTGTCACAGTTTAGCAGAACTTAAAGAGACATGACAACCAAATATAATATGGTTTTCTGGATGGGATGCTGAAACAGAAAAGGGACATCAGGAAAAAAATTGTGTGAATCTGAATACAGTATGAACTTTTGTTAATAATAATGTATTGATATTGGCTCATTTGTTGTGACAAAATGTAGCAGGCTAAGATGTTGACAATAGGGGAAACTGGAGGGTATATGAGATGATTTTATTCTAAAATAAAAACTATCTAAAATAGTGATTTCCTAAAACAAAAGAAAACAATAGCATGTGGGATCCTATAGCATCAACTGCTAATTCTCCCTAGTATCTCATTCTTTCTAGCCTTTATAGTAGTGGACACTCTTCCCTCCCACTCCCTATTTTTATTTGGGTGCATAGCTACCCAGATAAAGACTATGATTCTCAGCCTCCCTTGCTTGTAGGTGTATCAAGTGATGTGAAGTGGTACTGATGTACATATATTTCTGCCCTCAAAGGCAATTGGCAGACATAGGGATGAGACATCTTGGACCACATGGAAAAGAGCAACTCCCTAAGGAGAGCAGGAATAAGGTTGCTTGGGTCCCTGATGACTCTGTAGAGAAGAGCTGACACACCAGCTCAGACTTCTACATGAAAAAGAAAAGAAAAACTTCTGTCTTGTTTAAATGTAGGTTAAATTTGAGTCATTGTCACATGAAACCAAACTTACATCTTACCTAATGTAGGCAGAAAGAGAACAGCTCTCTCCTGTTAAGAGTCAATTTTTACAAAATTTTTAAATTGAGGAATTTTAGTTCCCAACAGATTTAGGGACCTCTAGAGAACATTTTAACCTTATTTCCAGATTGAGTACAGTAGATCAAGCCATTTGACTGCTCAAAAATTTCTTAAATATTTACAGGACATAAAGTTACTAATCTCATGGTTGTCTTTCAGCTAAGGTTCTTAATTTATTAATAGAGTTTTATCTTTTTATCCAGAAGATTCTTCAGAATGGTATTTCAGTAATACCTTACTTTTCAAGAGAGATTTTATATTGAGTGTTGATTTTAAAAAAATATACCAATCTCTTTGGCAGAATCTTCATTCTGAGCTTTGTTAAATAACTTCTTTTGAAAATCACTTATGCAAACATTCATCTCTTTGGCCACAACCTTTCTTTCTATATTGTGCATTCCACTAGCCCACTATGATTATTCTTTTACCACACTGGAATCTCCAGTCCAAAGATGGCCTTACTTTCTCCTTTATCAGTCCTCTCTCTTATTCACTCCCCTTCTTATCCACGTGTTTGTAATAATCTTTCCAATATCCTAATATTAGCTTTGTCCCTCTCTTATTATACTGCACCCACTAAACAAAAGCCCAAAGTTGGATGGACTATCTCTTTTCTTCATGCTTATGGCTAAGTCCTTCTGGACAAAGGCATAGAATAGGGCACACTGGTTCTCTTGATGTAGAATCTGTTCCTCAAACTGAAATGGATTCCGACTTACTGCTCAATAATCCTATTGTGTTTCATTGGTCAACTCACTCTCCCACTCTGCAACAATTTCATAAACTGTCTCCATCTTCCGCAAAACTCCTATCACCTGTGAAGTCAGTCTCCAAGATAGTCCCCTTGTATATTCGCTACTCACACTGTACCAGGTTTGGTCTGTGTGACCAACAGAATATTACAGAAGTGATGACAGTATGCCACTTCCAAGATTGGGTTATAATAGGCATTTCAGCCAACATCTTGATGCTGTCTCGGCTTGCTCAATCTAGGAGAAGCCATGGTATAGGCTGCCCTATGGAGAGGTCCCTGTGGAACAGGATGGGAGACTTCTGCCAACAACCATGTGAGTAAGTTTGGAGTAGGAACCTCCAGTCCTAGGCAAGTCTTAAGTACAGTCTCTGCCAATAGCACGACTGCACTCTCCTGAGAGATCCTGGAGCCAGATTCACCCAGTTAAGCTATTCCAGGATTCCTGACCCTCAAAAACTGTGGGAAGTAAAGAATGTTTATTGTTTTAAGCTAAGTTCTGGGTAATTTGTTATAAAATGGATAACTGATACTTCTCAATTTCACTCTCAGCAGATGATCTCACCTTCTACTTCACAGTTAAAAATAGAAGCCATCAGCTAAGAGCTCCATCTTACAGGTGTACCTACCTCTTCACATGCCCTATCCTCTCCTGTAATAAGGGTACATCTTTCCTTCCTCCCAGTGAAGGCTAATTCCTCCCCATATACTTGGGATTCCAACTCTGTCTTCTCATGAACTTACACTTTTGCTGGCTCTCTTTTATATTCTCAGCTTCTTCCTTTTAATTGGTTTTTAAAGATTCAATGTGCTCATATGGAAGAGAGAGAGAAAAAAAAGGGAAAGAAAGGGGCCTCATTTGAGCTTTCTTCTTTTATCTACTGTTCTGTGACACAGGCTACTAACTGTTCTTCAGTATTCACGTTCTCCTCCTTCTATTTAGTAACAGAAGCCAAACAGGGTTACCTTTGGGGGTTGGCGGAATGGTACAAACTGTTCTGTCATTTCAATCCATCAATGTTATTTGTGCAATAAACAGAAATAAAAATAACAGAATAAAATCAATAGAATGGAATAGATAAAGCGAGTTGAAATCCTTATTTGTTTTACTCAGAGGAAAATTTTACATATTTAAATGTATTCTTATCAGTCATATGTCCAAAAACCAAATGAAAATTTCTATTAAGATAGTTTTCAAAACAGAATATATGATAAAGGATACAAAAGCTCCTACTACGAATGTTGGGTTAAAGACATGGTTCTGGAAGGTAAAAAGTGTCAGTCCCATGTAGGAGAAGATAAAATTCTCTGCCAAGAAATTGAGAAGCTCAAACAACTGAAACAAAATTTTAAAAGATTAGTCGAGTAAATAAATTAAGTCATGTGATTTTAAAACATAACTATTACTAAGATAATGAAATAGATACTTCACATATGTAAACTTCATGCATAAACCCGAAATATATGACTCAGAGGGGAGTGAATGCAGAGATATTTCCAGTCCCATAAAAAGAATGAGAATTGTTGCCTCCTCACCTCTTTCAATCAGCTTCCCTACTCTGAATCCCCATCTTCAGTCTTCTCCTCCACCTCCTAACCATGTCAATTTTTCTTTTGGAATGTTCCTTGTGTCCTCCACTGCCCTAGTTTAGTTTTCATCACTTCCCACCCATAATGCTGCAAGAGGACCCTAACTGATATCCCTGACATCCTCATTTCCTACCCCCACAATGAATCTCTAAAAAACAGCAGTTTCAAGATACTTTCCTCTCTATAAGCTATAAAGATCCAACTCAATTTCTTCTTTTATTAGTACTGGAGATTGAACCCAGGGATGCTTAACCATTGAGTCACATTCCCATCCCCATCCCCCCCCTTTTATTTAGAGACAGGGACTCACTGAGTTGCTTAGGGCCTTGCTAAGTTGCTGAGGCTGGCTATGAATTTGTGATCCTACTGTCTAAGCCTCTGGGATTACAGGCATGTGCCACTGCGCCTGGCTAATTCAACTTCTTTTCATCCTGACATTGAGTGCTGCAGTATCATGATGGTTTTACTGACTTGCTGCTTACTTTACTTTTTTTGTGGGTCTTACCTCTCAGGGAGGAAGCCTCCTAGAGACAGGGCTTATGCACTAGAATCCTGCACTTGGTGCCCTCCCTTGCTTCCTGCCCACCCCACCCCATTCATGTCACTGCCTCCCCAAGTATCACTAACAGTAAGTATACAAGATTTGCTGAAAGGGATACCATAGGCTGGTATCCCTTTGGCAATTATAGTTATCTATCTCTGCTCTTCCTCATGAGCTCTCTGGACAATAATACCAAGTAGGAAGTTCAGAACATGGGCTCAGGAGTCATAATGCCTAGATTTGAACCTTGCCATCCCCACTTGCTAACTATGTTGCCTTGGACAAGTTAGTTAATTTTCTTCTTTTTCCTTCCTTTCTTTCACTTTTTTCTTTTTTTCCTTTTTTTTTTTTTTTTTTTTTTGGTAGTAGTAGGTAGTGAATCCAGGGGTGCTCTACCAGTGAACAACATCCCTGGTCCTTTTTACTTTTCATTTTGAGAGAGGCCTTGGTAAGTTACTGAGGCTGGCCACAAACGTGCAAACCTGCATTAGACTTTCAGGTTGCTGATATTACAAGTGTGTGCCACTGCTCCTCGAAGTTCATCTTCTTAACACAGAGTTGGCTTATTATAAAAAATGACAATAAACATTAAAATAAGTTAGGTTTAATTATACTTAACTGATTTAATATGCTATTATTCCTACTTATTTAATAATAATAGCTACATTTATTTATTTTTCAATATATGCCTGGTACTAAAATAAGGATCTCACGTACATTGTCTTGCTTTTATCTCAAAAAAAGTCTGTGACAAAATAAAATTTAAAAAGAAAAAAAAACACAACTCTGTGAGGTAAGAACTATTATTATCTCTGTTTCATTTTATTTAGTTTAGTTTTGTTTGATTGTGGTGCTGGATCAAACCTGGGGCCTCAGGCATGCTAGGAAAGTGCTCTACCACTGGAGCTATACACCCAGTCCTGGTGGTGTTTTGTTTTTTTAGATGGGTCTCACTATGTGAGTCTTAGAGTTCAAGACCAGCCTGGACCAAACAATGCTCTCACCTCAGCCTCCAACATAGCTGGGACAACTGGCACGCACCACTATGCCTGGCATTATTTTATTTTAAAGAACTGATGCACAGAGAAGTTACATAACTTGCTCCTGATTACACAGCCAGTAAGCAGTAGAACACAATACAGTGACTGCATAGTCTCAGCTTTAAACTACAACATAGGAGTTGGCAAACTTTTCCAGGGAGTAAATATTTGAGAGTTTACAGGTTACAAGGTCTCTGTCACAACTGCTCAACTCAGCCAGTGTAGCACAAAAGAAACCCTAAGCTGTACACTTAAAAACAAGAGTATGTGTGGCTGTGTGACAATAAGACCTTTAATGGATGTTGAAATGTGATTTCCATATAACTTCCATGGGTCATAGAATCTTCTTGTGATCTTTTCTTAATCACTTAGAAATTATATAATCATTTAGAAATGTAAAGCCCATTCTTAGCTAACAGACTGGCAAGAGCCAGATTTTATCTGAAGGCTCTAGTTGGTGAGCCCCTGCTCTACACTTTACTGCATCCTTTTTAATTTTTACCTTTGTTTCCCTTAGGCCTTTCCAAATCCTTCCCATCCTTGTAGGTGTACCATTTCCTTTGATAGCCTTTCAGATACTGAAGCCTCAAACCGTGTCCCCTCTTCTCTAATGGCCTATTATGTCACAGAATCTGAAGCACATAATCTAGTATTCCTATCAGGATTCTCATCAGTAACAAGAATGGAAACTCTTAATCTGTGGCTTATTAATGCCCTACCCTGTTACCCAGAAAAATGCTGAACATCCCCAAGTTGGTTTTCTTCTCTATTCTTAATGCACTGAGTTAATTTGTTAAAAGGATGTGTAACCCCAGTGTATATGCTTGGGAGAGGATATACACTGGGATTACACTTCTGAAGGAGTGGGGAAGGCATAAGTCATAAATTAAATCTGCGACTCCAGGGCAAAGAAAAGAAAGAAATTGTTGCTCCTGCTCTAGTGTTGATCCTTTCCTGGCTCATCTCAAAACTATCTGGCAAAGCTGAAAGCTCCTAAATCTTACTATAATAATCATAAGTATGTACCTGTTTCTATTCCTAACAGTACATTTTGGTTATTTATTTGTCCATATATTTCCTAAGAATGGAAAATTATATGTCTATTTTCTTCACAATTCCTTTCAGGCGATCATTGCAATTCCTGTGCAAGTGATCATTCAGTACCCAATTACTGATACAGTCCCCTGGGGTTCCTGGAAACAGAGGTTTTGCAGGGTCTGAGTGAAGACTGAAGGAAGTTAGTGTTCTCAGGCCCCACAGATCTAGTCAGATCAGAAATTAAACTTATCTGTATCACATAGTGGCAGTTCTAATCAAGCCAGAGTGAGTTTCTAAAACATTTTACTCTTAAAAAAGGCTACATTAGGTTAAGAGAAGAAGCTAAATAACTGGTTACTGGAAATACAATTATAAGCCCTGACTAATCTGCTGATCTATCTCCACCCTAAATAAGCTATCACTCTCTAGCTTGCCAGTCTCATCTATTTCTAAAGTCAAAAGAAGAGTAAGACAGGGCTGGGGATGTGGCTCAGGCGGTAATGCGCTTGCCTGGCATGCACGGGGCGCTGGGTTAGATCCTCAGCACCACATAAAAATAAAATAACGATGTTGTGTCCATCGAAAACTGAAAAATAAATATTAAAAAATTCTCTCTAGGGGCTGGGGATGTGGCTCAAGTGGTAGCGCACTCGTCTGGCATGCGTGCGGCCTGGGTTCGATTCTCTGCACCACATACAAACAAAGATGTTGTGTCCACCGAAAACTAAAAAATAAATATTAAAAATTCTCTCTCTCTCTCCCTCTCTGTATCTTTAAAAAAAAGATGTTGTGTCCACCGAAAACCAAAAAATAAATATTAAAAAAAATTTTTAAAAATCTCTCTCTCTCCTCTCTCTTAAAAAAAAAAAGAGTAAGTCAACACCTTGAACAAATTAAAGACTATTTTTAAGGAAATTTATATTTTGCTGAAAGGAGGAAAATTTATTCACAAATTTATTATAAAGTCGGTCTTACCTGTTTTGTTCTATGTTGAGACTCCGTGGACAAATTATTGTATGTGTAATGTGCTTGTGTGATGCCACAAAACAATACTGCAACAACACCTATAAAGACAACAAATTCCAAGTTCACATAAAAGGATGGCTCCCAACTTTTAAACTGAGGCTTTTGTTTTACAAAGGCCAATTACATGCATGGTACCTACATTTTCATTTACTTTGAATTACTTTGCTGAGAGGAACAACTTCCATTGAATATTTTGTTGACATCCTAAAATGACAGCTTAAATCCCAATAAATATGTTCAAATATGAAGATGTTGATTCACTTGCAGAAGTGGCTTACTAAATCACTCTTTTATATAAGAATTTACAATGAAAAGGAGAAAGTAACTCACCTGTGAAGCCCCATGCTTCAGCCAATAGAAAGGTACTCCAGGACATCAAGAAGAACAAGCCTGTCTCCAGCAACTGAAACTCCCGCAATTTGGTGAACTTTGTCACGTGAGACAGTTAAGCCTGGTAACGAGATCTTGGAATATAAATGTGTGACTAGAAAAATAAGCATCAAAGCAAGGCAACCATGAAAGCAAGAGAAGGGTTCTCTAGCCCTTCTAACACAAAAGCCACAGAATAAGGACACACTAAGGTGAAGAAACTTAGAATCAGCATCTTACTGAAGAGTCAGCTGTCCCTTCAGAGAAAGTGTCATGGCTTAGCCACTCTTATGTGTATGACATACCTTGCCAGAAACCACACAGTGAAGGACAGGCAGACAAGAGCAACAGATTGCACATACAATATGGCAACTTTGAAGCTGTGGTCCAAAGCAAGACAGATTCAAAAATTCTATCAATTTACACTTATAAAAACATGATTCCATGAGATTTCACATACATTTAACACATCTGTAATGTAGAGGATTCATTCCATAATGAAGAAACTGAAGCACTTAACTCACTTTATACAAGTTTAAAAAGTATTTTGCTGGTTGACAGTAGTAGAAGGATCTATGCCAAATTGTGACAAACTGTTGGGCTAGAATCTAGAGTTACTTCAGCAACTCTGTATCATGACAAAAAGATGAACAAGATATATTTCTTCTCTCAAAGGAACCCATAACAAGGAAGAGATACTATCTGTGCTGTCTCCCTCTTTGGAATTATTTTACTGTCCTTCATGCCTTAATTCACCTATAAAAAACACTAGAGAAGTCTCTTCCACGATGTATACCAAACAAAGAGATTCTCATAAAAAGTATATATTTGTTTTATATGAAAGTATCTTAGAAGATTTATAACTGGAAACTCCTTAGAGAGCATCAAGATCCACTTGACTTTCCTCCTGGTCCCCACCTTCCATTTTCCTACACTGAGATCCAAAGAGGCAAAGTGTCAACATGTCTATCATGTTTGCATCTACCACAACACCAGATCCTCCAGGCAGGTAGAGGCCACATTTGCCTTGTTTATCTTTAATACTCAGAGCATAGCAGTTGGCTTGTAGCAGACAATCAGGAAATATCTTCTGAATGAAAATAAGAACGAACTGCCAGTATTTCTCATAGCTAACTAGTGGCAGTATTGGCTCTAGAGCACAAAGTTTAAAATTGGGAGATCTGGGATGAAATCCTCTATATCCTCACCAGGGAACCATATTTTGTTCATGTAACATCAGGTTGTATATCTCCTGTCTGTCCTATTAAACAAAGAGCAGAAGATTGGCAGGTTGACCAGCAGCATAGAATGCCCAGAAGCTCTTTGAGGTATATGTACCTTTTGTGTGTGTATGTGTGTGTGTATCTTCGTATATGTACTTGGGGTAATGGTGTCCATCTCATTCCACCCTCTTTCCTACTATCCCTTTATATCAATTTAATCCACAACTTTAAAATTTTCTATCACAGGAACATTGTGTCTAATTAGATTATTGTACAAAAGTTTTAAGGCACTAGGCCCTATGCAAAGCAATAAAATTATTTAATTTACTTATTGTCAAAGATAACTGCTTTAGATTTTCAAACCAAACACTTGGTTACAAGGTTAATAATTATAATACAATTCCAATCATGGAGCTAGGAGAAATCAAGGATTACATGTTTAACTACCTTGTGAGGTTAAGAAGAAAAGATAAACAATGATAAAAGGATATTAAAGCTGTCACCACTCCAGTAGCAGCACCCATTGCAAAAGATCCACTGAAGATCCCCAGGAAGATTCCAATAGACTTGAACATTGCTGTGACATCAAAGGTGTGACTATTGTCTCCAGCTGGCTGGTATGCCACTATTGAACTACAAAAAAGAGAATGCTCTTACTTCTAGAAGCAACTTTACCTTTAAAACATTACTTAGTACAGAACTTGAAAGATGAAATGAGAAAAAAAAAACCCTTTGGGCTTGAATTGTCAAAATAAGGGCAAAAGGTTACACACACACACACACACAAAAACAAAACAAAACAAAAACCTGTGTGTATCCAGCTAGCAAGAAAACTCAGCTTTTCTTAACCAGGCAAGGTGGCGCACACACCTATAATCCTAGCAGCTTGGGAGCCTGAGGCAGGAGGATGGCGAGTTCAAACCAGCCTCAGCAAAAGCGAGGCACTAAGCAACTCAGTGAGACCCTGTCTCTAAATAAAATACAAAATAGGGCTGCGGATGTGGCTCAGTGGTTCAGTGTCCCTGAGTTCAATCTCCAGTAACCCACCCTCCCAAAAAAAACTCAGCTTTTTTTTTAAACGACAATTTTAAGAGGTAGAACATTGTAAAGACCTCTACATAAAAGTTGTTCCAAACCTGTTCCTCCATCCTCAATTCTATGCAGTAGTAAAATTTTGGGATTCTGTTGAAGAACTACACCTACTGAGTGCCCCCAAACTCCAACACACTAATGGAACAAACTAGTGACAAATCCCACTTGTTTCCAGCAGAGGCATACGAATGTTATTCAATACTTAACCCAGTCACACTTTGTTTTTCCTATGGGAAGAAAAAAGGTGACTGAAGAGCTCTTCTAACTTTTAGAAAATCAGAATGGGCCAGATGCCTAATATCTATTCACTCACTAAAATGGACTTTCATAGGAAAAGGGCTTGAAAGGCCTTCCAAGAAATTAGAATCCATTCAACAGTACTTTGAGCATACCCAGCTGGATCCTCCACCCCAAACTTCTGAAAGAAAGTCACTCCATACCAAGCCAAGACAGGCAATTACAGGGGACATGCTCCATCTTGAACTCACAGTCCAAACCTGGTCTGAAAAAGCTTCTTTTATAATAGTCACCACAGGAAACAGAAATAGCTGAGAAAATTGCTCTTGTCAGCAGGTCTCTGCCAATAGTACTTACTGGTTCTCAGCTCAGTTAATTGAGGTACCAGCATTATAAAAAGTCTAGACTCAAAAGCATCATACAAGTCATGTCAAAGAAACAGAGGAAAAAAGCACATTCCTAAGAATATAATGAATCCACCCTGTGGTTACTGCCATTTTTTTCTTGTGGTTCAAGGCTAAAAAATGTGTTTTACTATACCATGTACAACAAGTTCTTTTCATACATGCCAGGTTAAATTTAAAAATAACTAAGACCAAAATAAAACTTTCTAAATTGTTGTCTATTTTATTGAAGTACATGACTGACATTAATTTCTGCTAGTGGCATCTACAAATTTCGGAAGCAATCTTAATTGAAAAATTTAAATATTTGTGTTTAAATATTTATTTGGGGTCCAGTAGATTTGATATTGTTTTGATAAGTATAAATACCTTTAATATAATGCTACCTTACCTACACATAAAGGGTCCTACTATCATTAATGAAATCTAAACACATTATAGCATTAAAATATATAAGCTGGTTGGAAAAACAAAGGATGTTGCGACAGTAACATTCTTTCTTCCTGGCAATATTTTCCAAGATGATGGCTGGGAAAAAATATCTATGCCATGCCTCATGTGGTTGCTTTGCCTGGATTAGTTCAAGTAAATTCAAGAGACACACTAATTATTATTTTGTTCTTTTTTTAAACTTTAAGAATTCTTCTTTTTAATATTTTTTTTAAGTTGTAGACTTTTATATGTGGTGCTGAGGACTGAATCCAGTGCCTTTCAGATGCAAGGCAAGTACTCTACCCCTAAGCTACAAGCCCAGCCCTTATTTTATTCTTTAATCACTAAAATGTACAAGGATGCGTGGAAAACATGATAAGTTGAGGGGTTTCTTTTCTTCTGTTTAAGGCAAATCCTGGCTTCTGATTTGAAATCTTAACTCATCTTCTACATCAGCCAACATTTTATCTTGAGGCGTTAACATTTTAATGCATACTTTTTTTTAAAATTCTGAAAGTCATACAATATTCAGCTGGGGAGGAAATCACCCTATCATTCTACTTTCCTGACAGATAAATATTATTTTCTTTATTTGTGTCCCCTCTTTTTGTCACATGCATAATATTTCACATTTAATTATAATCAGTGAATATGCAATTTTGAATTCTGCTTCTTTAACCAACAGTGATCACGATTTTTAAAATTTATTTAACCATATGTCCATTGTTAGACATTTAGAAGTCGTTTTCAATATTTTTGTTTCTATAACAACAGCATGAAGGAATATCTTGGTGATTTTTTTTTTTTACATACTTTGGGCTATTGCGTTGTGCTACATTCCTAGAAATAGAGCATTACCATACCTATGGCTCTTTTTACATTTTGTTCAACTGCCTTCAAAAGGTCTTCACTGCAATTTTGGAGGGAAATAAAATAATATCTCCAAACTTTTTAAAATGATCATATCCATTATCTTAGAAATTCTACCTTTAAAAGTATCCTACTGGTAGACAGCTTATCTAGTATTAAGGTTTGGATAAGAGGTGTCCCCCAAAGTTCCTGTTAATGCAAGAATATTCAAAGGTAAAATGATTAGATTATGAGAGCTGTAACATGCAACATGGCTAGAGGAAGTGGGTCACTAAGGGTGTGCCCTGGAAGGATGTAACTTCCATGTGGCACCTTTCCTGCTTCCCTCTCTGTTTCCTTGCTGTCATGAAAGGTGCACCTTCCCAATGCAGTACCCTTCCCATATTGTTCTGTTTTACCTAGGGACCAGCGCAATGGAGTCAGCCATCTATGGACTGAAATCTGTGATACCTTGGGGCTAAATAAGCTTTTCTTCCTCTAAGTTGTTCTTGGAGGGTATTTTTTGGTCACAGTGATGCAAAACCTAAATGCAAAAACTAAAACACCCAGTGTGTATGAGGTCCTGTGTTAGATCCGCAGTACACAACTCACCCCCCCCAAAGTATCCTACAAAACAACAACAAAAGTTACTCCACACAAATACTCTCAAGGATTCAGAGATTTACACATAAATACGATCATCGTGATGGAAGTCATAGGAATGTGACATTTCAAAACACCAAACACTAGGCTGGGGCATAGCTCAGTGATAGAGTACTTGCCTAGCATGCATAAGGTCTTGGATTCTATCCCTAGCACTACAAAAACAACAAACCAACCTACTAAATGTTAGCCAACAGGGGATTGGTAAGGTAAATTTGTGGTGCATCCACACAGTGGGAATTAGACAATAAACACAGTACCATGTCCAAGTGAAATAAGCAAGATATAGAAAAGTATGTGTAGTACTATGCTTTTTGTTTAAAAAATTATGTTTATAAGTATGTTAATATACTAATGAAGAGATGAAAATCCTGATTTTTTAAGCTGAAATTTCAGGAATTTTCTACTTCATAAGTCAACACTTAATATTCTTATCACAAATATATGTTAAATTTTATTATCATAAATGACAAAAGAGGACATCAATTTAATGTTAACAGCAATGTATGAGTGGTCTAGTTTCACTACACCAGCATTTGTTTCTTTCTTTTCTCTTCTTTCTTTTTCTTGGTACTGGGGACTGAACTCAGGGGCACTTGACCACTGGGCCACATCTCTAGCCTTCTTTTGTATTTTATTTATTTATTTATTTTTTAAAAGAGAGAGTGAGAGAGGGAGAGGGAGAGAGAATTTTTTAATATTTATTTTTTAGTTATCAGCAGACACAACACCTTTGTTTGTATGTGGTGCTGAGGATCGAACCCGGGCTGCACACATGCCAGGCGAGCGCACTACCACTTGAGCCACATCCCCAGCCCTGTATTTTATTTAGATACAGGGTCTCAATGAGTTGCTTAGTGCCTCAATGTTCCTGAGACTGGCTTTGAACTCATGATCGTCCTGCCTCAGCCTCTTGAGCCACTGGGATTACAGGTGTGCAGCTACAATAGCATTTCTTGACCCCAGCATTTTAGGTATTTGTCCTGTACACTGAAGGTCTCTGAGATCCACTAGATGCTAGTAGTAACTCTCTCATCATGGCACCCAAAATGTCCCTAGACATTATCAAATATCCCTGGAGCAGGGGATAGGACTGCCCCCAGTTTAGAATGACTAACTGCACCATTACAAATGGTAATTTTAATCATTAACAATTTTTTCTTACTAAATAAACAGGTAAAAATGGCCACAGATTAACATGTATACCTCTAGGAACTAGTGATGTTAAACAGTTGGTCATGTTTATTTACTCACTGTAGTTCCTTTTTATAAAATGCAAACCACTGCCAAAAATGTTTTAAAGTAGTATGAAATTAGGTCTTCAGGATAATTGGGTTCATTCAATGAAATACTATGCATCCTATACTGTATCTTTAACTAATTAACCAACTAGATACACACACGTATACACACACACACACCATACTATGTCAGTATGTACAGATTTACCTCATACAGCAATGTATGAGGGAACCAGATTAAAAGTACTAGCTTAAAAAAACTGCTGGGCTGGGGTTGTAGCTCAGTGGTAGAGCACTTGACTAGCGTGTGTGAGGCACTGGGTTTGATCCTCAGCACCACAAAAAATAAATAAGTAAAATAAAGGTATTGTGTCCATCTACAACTAAAAAAAAAATATTTAAAAGAGAAAACTGCTAATCTAATAAGATGCATAAAAGCAGAAACAAAAACAACCTGCAACATAAATTTCAAGTGTTGTCTTAAACCTGTTAATTGCTAAACCTAACTCCTTTGGAAAGAGGTCCTCTCCCCTTTGATGCAAAACTGCTTATATAGAATATGAACAGTAGACAATCAGCAAACGAAGAAAATGCAACATATAGTATTCATATCTATCATACTTAAAAACACTTCATACTTTAAAACATACTTCAAAGGGAAATTAAAGATAGTGACCAAAATATCACTGAGTACTCCAGATAGTAACCTCCCATAGGCAGCAACACAACTGTATTCCCTTCAGCTTTTGGGAAGGAACCATTTGCTCAACTCCATTAATACACTTATACAGCTAATGATTCCCTTTAATGAAACACTCTAGATACAGTCCTTTTCCACAGGGTTCTACCAGACAATTTAATGAGTTAACTTATCTCCTAGCAATCCAGAATGATACCAACTATACACCATCCTTAGCAGAATTAGGGAAAGAATCACACAAGGCACAGCTGCACACACCTGTAATCCCAGCTACTCAGGAGGCTGGGGCAGGAGGATCCCAAGTTCAAGGTGAGCCTCAGCAACTTAGACTCTCTCTCAAAATTTTTAAATTAAAAGGGCCAGGGATGTAGCTCAGTGGCAGAGTGCTTGCCTGGGATGCTTGAGGCCCTGGGTTCAATACCCAGTATCAAAAACAAAAACAAAAGATTTGAGGGAACCATTAAAATCTTTTTCTGTAGTACTTCATTTTCTCATAGAACCCTGTTTGAGAAAGGGGGCAACAAGATAAGTGTGGCCCTTTTTAAGAAGTGCTATGGAAAGGAGTTTTTCTTCTTAACATATTTATTCTTCACTAATACTGACATTTATACAGCCAACCTCAAAACATTTCAATGAGGATTTTTTTCTTCCTTTTACATTAGTCAACTACTCCCAAATTGTATTATTGCAAACACTAAAGCATAGTGCACATCAGTTTTAAGATAAGACCAGAACAAAACAGATTTTTTGACCAACTCTTAATCCATTAGGACAATGAAAAGGAACACTAGTAAGATGATTCAATAGAATAAATGTTTACGACAGAGAATTGAGGCTAAAAGCAACTGCCTATACCTTAGTCTCTCACTTGATCTCAAATGTACGTATGTACTAGAAGCTCAATAATCTCTGTAGCTTCATTTTCTTAGGACACAAATTACAACAACATCTCATTTCTTCCTCCATTCATACATGACTTTTATTTTATAGCTACCATCAAAGGTATGGTGTCAATATTAGTTACAACCTTTGCATTAAAAATTAAATTTATAATAACTGTCGATAGCTGCCAAAAATTCTGGCAATAAACGTGGAAGGGAGGAAGTAACACATATACTGTATTCACACACAAAAAAAGGATTTGACCTTTTGTATTTCATCATACACAGCATTTAAGAGATGAGTGTTATAGTTCAGAAAGGTAATTTCCCACTTTGCAGTAAGGTCACCAGTGACAATCATGCTACGCAAACCACAGTGAGTGACTTATCACTCTTAAATATTTATAAAATAGAAATTAAGGAAAGATATAAAGAAAAATGTGAAGGGATTGTACTTCTCTCTTATAGAAAGTTCTGGTGTGAAGTAATAACAACTGTCTACATGGTTAAATATTTGCTTAGTAAGAATAATTAGGCAGGACTGAGTTCCTTAGCAGTTCAGACCTGGTCTTCCCCCAGCAAACACCTTGTAATAACATGTATAATAATATTTTCACCTAAATGTAGAAATTACTCATTCAATAACTGTCTTGAACAAAAGGTATATTATTAATACTTTTAGAGATAAAAGGATTCTGGCCAGGTACAATGGTACATGTCTGTAAATCCCAGCAACTGGGGAGGCTGAGGCAGAGATAAACTTCAGAGGTAGAGCACCCTGGGTTCCAAACTCGGTATTAAAAAAACATAAAAGCTTTGGAAATGATCATGTTAATGAGAGAAATACAAATTAAACTACAATGAGATATTACTCAACTTTCAAGCTGCCAGAAATAAAAAAAAATGTTTGACAAATATTCTATTGAAGAAGCTGTGAGGAAACAGTCTCATAATTTAGTGGCAAAAATGTAAAGTGGTATGATCCCTTTAACCATTTAGCAACTTTTAACAAAATTACAAATGTATTTATGTATTTACTCTTTAAACTAACCACCATCTCACTTTTGAGAATTTATCATACCATGTACCTATGCATGTACAAAACAAAGAAAGTTCAAGGTTAATCACTGAAGCATCATATGGGACAGCAAAAGAATGAAAATACTTCCAGCATGCAGCAATGAGACTGAAAAGTAAATATAGTACAGTTCACACACAGAATACTACATAGCTGCTCCACCACTCCTCAGTTTATACCCAAAGGACTTAAAATCAGTATACTACCAAGACACAGCCACATCAATGTTTATAGCAGCTCAACTCACAATAGCTAAACTATGGAACTGACCTACATGCCCTTCAACAGATGAATGGATAAATAAAATGTGGTATACATACACAATGGAATATTACTGAGCCTTAAAGAAGAATGAAATTTTGGCATTTGCCAGGAAATGGATGAAACTGGAAAATATCATGCTGAGCCAAAGAAGCCAATCCCAAAAAACCAAAAGCCGACTGTTTTCTCCGATATGCAGATGTTAATACACAATAAGGTGGGGGGCTAGGGAAGAATAGAGGTACTTTGGATTAGATGGAGGGGAGAGAGTATGGTGGTAGGAATGATAGTAGAATGAACTGGACATTATAACTCTATGTGCATATATGAATACACAACTGTTGTAACTCTACATCATGTACAACCAGAAGAATGAGAAGTCATAGTCCATTTATGTATGATGTATAAAATGCATTCTATTGTCATGTATAACTAACTAGAACAAAAAAGAATATTCACATTTGTGTTTACATTTGAATAAAGAAATACTACAATGTGCAAGAAACTAATAAAAATGGTTCACTCTAAGGGACTGAGAAGAGAGGGGGGTGAGGACAAAAGTTAAGGACATGATTTTTCTGTATAAATTGTTTTATATAGTTTTTATTTTTTAACCATGTGGATATATCATCTGTTAAAAAATATAATTAAACACAAAGTGTTCATGTTATAATGTTAAAAGAGATTACAAAATTACATAAATCCTACAATCACAATTATGTAAAAATAACATACATAGAAAAAGAAAAAGGAAATGTCCTAGAATATTTACAGTAATTGTTTTTAGGCGATGCGAGTACATGATTTTTTTCTTCCCTGCCTTTACAAATTATCTATAAACTATGCATTTCTTCATAAGAGGAAAAAAAAACTTTGTTCTTCCAAATATTTCTATTTATAATGAATTTTATTCAATAAGTGATTTTCATTTCCTATTACTCTCAACTGTAACATTTAGAATATAATAAGAAAACAAACACTTACGAGGAAAGCACTATGGCAACAGCATCATTGAGGACACTTTCACCAAAAAGAAGTGCGTAGAGTTCAACGTCGACTTGAAGCTCATGGAATATGGCAAGAACAGTCACTAACAAGTAGAAAGAATCAGAAAAATATTTAAACGTCCCAAATATAACATATTCCCCTCAAGAGTTGATTCTGAGGTATTTAGAAATTCATTTCTTCCTTTTTAGTATCTCTCATAATACCAATGATTCAGTGATTTGGTCATTATTTCTCCCTAATTGTGTACATGCAACTTCTCCTTTTTGATTATCTTAAAAACAGCTGAAAATAAACTTCGAGAACTGAGCTGGCCTACATTCTTTATGCAAATGTTAATAATCTGGCTTTGTACATTTCCTTTTCACAAATAATATATTAAGAATTTCTTACAGACCAGGTAATCATTAATCTTTAATGAAGACTAGCATGAAAAGCATCTCTTGCTGCAAATACTCTTTTTTTCTCCTTGGAGCCTTAAAACTCACTTTTATTTGACTTGCAAATTGCAAGCACGCTGGTTTAGCAAAGACAGTAGGAAATAAAAACACTAAGTTCAGTTTTTAGTTGGGGTAAAATTCATGACCAGGATTACAGTTGCCACATTTAATGGAAAAAGAAGCCAACTCACAGGATATTACATCCTGAGAAGAAAAAGAACCAACAACAAACCCTTCTTTTTGGGAAGCAATATATATATTATAATTCTCAGAAAATCAGATAAGGTTGAAAAGTTCCATTATAACTTTAAATGCTGAGTCACATAGAGCTTACCCACTAAATAAACTCAAGCAGACATGAAAGATTAATATAACCAGAGATGGGAGAGCCGTTTTCAAATGCCAACCCTAAAAACAGGAAACTTGCATTTTAAAAGATATAACTTCTACTGCAAGGCATTGTAGCTGGAATATACTGATACCAAAGCTTATGAAGAGATAGTGAGAAGGGTGGGACAATTCAGAATTCTGAAAAGAGAACCTATAGCTCATCCTTATAGAAAATTAACTTACTGCAAAATAATAGAATTGGGGCCAGTGCCTACATAATTCAGAAAAATATGTAACTGTCCAACTTTGTGTAAGCAAAAGATTCTTGCTTGAGCTATTCAGGCAGCACTCCCACCAAACTAAACCAAAAGGTGGAAGTAATGTAGTGAGTCCAATCAACTTAAGATTTCTTACAGGTTTTGAAAAGTCGAGGAACTTACTTCTAGAGAACACAGAACCTAGAGATCCTTGCAAAAACCAATCTGCCTTCATATTGATAATGGAAGCAGCTACAAGCAATAAGGGGTCACCCATGGTTGTCTTTAAAAAAGCAACCTGATTTCCAGTTTTAATAATACTTACTAGGGGCTGGGGTCATAGCTCAGTTGGTAGAGTGCTTGCGTCACATGCATAAGGCCCTGGGTTCAATCCCCAGCACCATACATTAAAAAAATGCTCAACTATGTAAGTGTCTAAAATGGCCCTCTAAGTAAATCTTTTAAAATCATCTCTTAGTAGTACAGAACACATTTTCCTCCTTCCCATAATGTCCAGTGTAATCAGAGTTATTAACGTAGGAATTCAGAGACAAAACCTTGGACCCTACCTTTAATTGTACTAGATGACAATTTAAGATGATTAACTTAAAGGTCAAAAGGTAGAGGAGAACAAACCTCTACTAAACTCTTAACTCACAGTGAAAGAAAACTTGATCCTTACTTCAAAAATCTCCCTCTAGGATCTGGGAGGTATAGCTCTATGATATAATATTTGCCTAGAATGTGCAAGGCCCTCAACTGGATCAAACAAACAAACAAAAAACTTCAGACTATGTTCCTATACTGACCTTTTCATTCTATATTTTCTCCAAATTCCTAATATGAATGTAGCTGTTAAGCTTAGCAATATTATATTAGGAAAATGAAAACCTCACTTAATATAATTAAATTATTTATGGAACACAAATTTTTAGTGTCCTGACAGTAAAAGTATAGGGAAGCAAGCTGTGTTAATACCAAAACAATTATATAATCACAAGGTCAATTTTATAAAAGTAATTATTTAATGTATACATAAGACTACCAGTGGGGTCTGGGGTTGTGGCTCAGTGGTAGAGCACTTGCCTAGCATGTGTGAGGCACTGAGTTCGATTCTCAGCACCACATATAAATAAATGAATAAAATAAATGTCCATCAACAACTATAAAAAAATAGACCACCAGTGACCAAAAAATCATACTATTATCAGGACATCTGCCTTCTAACAATAATTTTAAAACTTCTTTCTTACTGTTAAATGCAAATGGCTGAATTAGACAGATTTTTAGTGAACTAGTTTTCTAGAAGTTTAAAAAGAAGTGTATAATTATTACCCATTTTAACAATCTAAAAAGTAGTTCATCTTCTCCTATACCCAATCACTAATGATAGAGATCAACCTAAATTTCTGAAGAAAATATCTTACAGCTCTCATCTAGACAGCATCAATTTGTGGCCAGTAATAGGCAAATGTAATAAATGAGAAAAAAATAAATGTGCACTTAAGCCAAAAGAAATTACGGACAGTAATTTTTCTTCCACAATTGGAAAGCTTAGTGCTAGGGAAGTACCTAATAAAAAATTCTATGCTTCAAAGAAATACCCATAGTGCTTTGACTAGAAAACACTGTACCTAAAGTACTTAAGGTCCCCTCTTGTAAAACATACCTGGGTCTGTTGCTGATACAATGGCACCAAATAGCAGGCAATCTGTAAAGTAAAAATCTCCAGCAAGTTGTCCAGTTACCTTCATCAGCGTTACACAGCCATACATTATTGATCTGTTCAATAAACATATTCTTACTTTAGAAAAAAATCACTGTTAAAAAGTTAGAATAAAATAAGAGTAAGAAGATGGATCTATTATAGTACTCTGTGGTTAACCCCAAATTTAAATCATGACTCTTAAGTATGGTTAATACCTTGGTCTTGAAAATGCAAACAACTTATTACCTGTTTGAATACATCTTACTGCAAAAGTCCTTAGACATATTCAGAAATTCAGTCCCAATACCCATAAATCAAAAATGAATTATTTTACAATTATAATTTGAAGGCTTAAAAGTATTTCAAGTTTCAAATGCTTACCCAATAACAAAACAAGAAATTGCTGTTCCAAGAAAAGCATATGCCAGAATAGACCCGAGGTTCCGAAAGAAATGTCTCTGAAAAAAAAAGTTACACTGTATTAGCATAGAATACTCCCCAAATGTTTGAAAAAGAAAAGGTTTTCTATTGTGGTGTGCTATGTTAATATTAAAAACATTATTCAGTAGAAGAAATCGGTAAAAGAATGCATTCTTGCATAAGGATAAATTTCATCATCTAAAAAAGATAGAAGGGAGGGGTACCTGGAAAAAATGGCCTATTTCTAAAGTGTCAAATATTATAAAGCCCATGGAAAGTTTAAGGTTATTCAAAGTATATAAAAATGTAGTACTTACCCTTTTCAGACTATAACCTGCATAAAAGATGATAGGAGGAAGTAATATGTTGAAAAATACTTCTGGATCAAAAGTAACCTGTTAAAATAAAGAATTATGTTAGATGCATTCTCTTAGAAGATCTTGTACTACATTATCAAACTATCAAAAAGAAAAAAAAATTAACTGTCACACTGGTCAACAACATTAATATGGTAACTTAAAATATTTCATATAGGGAATCTAATACTTGCTTGTCTTAGGCACATATAGGATGGTTTGTTGTTTTACTTTTCAACCAAATGACAAAGCTATGGTGTTGGAATAATCATTTAAGTCACATGTGAGGAAAGTTTGTTAAAATACTGTATTAAAAATCTTAGAAATAGGAAAACGCATGAACATAGTTTTGCTTTAAATAAAAGAGATCCAAAACTGGTAATATAGAATTTAAGGTATGTCACTATTGTTGGCGAGAGGAAACCAACTTGTTACATAGGTGACATCTCTTAAGCTATACAACATATTAAGGTAAAAACTTTCTGGACAGTTCCGATATTTAGTCCTGATAGCCCACTCATTTTAAAACCTATTTGCTTTAATAATGCAGACACCCACTTCTGTCCATAAGGCTGCAGGAGAATTTGATATGAACTCAAAGCAGCTACACACATACCCGTGCTGAAACTTAGTTTACCAGAACTTTATTTTTTGGCAGTGCTAGCAATTGAATCCAGAATTGCTGTATCACTGAGCTTTTTCAGGTTTTTTTGCTATCTTAAGACTGAGTTTTGTTAATTTGCTAAAGATGGCCTTGAAGTTGTGATCTTCTTGCCTTAGCCTCCTGAGTCACTAGGATTACAGATGTGTAGTTTACTAGAACTTTTAAAGAACTAGAATATTCCATGGGTGGTGATAATTCTTTTTGCAAAGTGAACTTTTAAGTTTATAGAAAATTTTATTTTATTTATTTGTGGTACCAGGGATCAAACTCAGGAGTGGTCTACCAATGAGCTATAACCCAGCCTCTTAAATTTTTTTTTTTTTTTTAGAAAAGGCCTCACTAAGTTGCTGAAGCTGTCCTCAAACTTGTGATCCTCCTGCCTCAGCCTCCCAAGTTTTTGGGATTACAGGTATGCACCACAGCTCCCAGCTAACTTTCATAGGAAATTTTAAATGGTCAGGAAAACAATCAAGTAGCTATAAAAATCAAGGACAGCCAATGGAGAACATAGGAGATGTTGAGGCAAGTGGCCAAGCATGGACAAAACCAGACACGCACAAACTGACACTGAGAAGCTTCATAAGAGAAACTATAAGTGAGACAGAAGCAAGCAGCTCCTCAAATGTCTGGAAGCCAGTATGAATGCAACTCTACCTCTTACATAAAGCATTATGTACAGCACTGCCCAACAACCAAGGCTCATACAAAGGCCCCCGAAATTGTGCCACATTATAAGTCCAAGAGAGGTTAAATTGTGCTCAGTGTATAAATCAACCAACGCAAGAAAGAATTAAAGAAATACTAATGGAATATTTTAGGCAGTATCAAATAACCTCAAAGCTCTAAAGTACTCTAAAACTGTAAAGACCATCAGTAAATTGAGAGAAATGCTCATAAATTCTGCTTAAATCAATCCTAGTCACTATTTATTACAATTGTAAACAACACAGAATAAACAAAAAAGTTTTTAGTACTTAGCATCAATCAGGATATACAGAAATATTCACTTCCTTACATTATTATATTAACTGAGGTTTTACTGCATTTTAAAAAGCGAATCATTTTAAATATTAAAAATTCACTATTTTTCTTCAGAATCACTTTGCTGCTGGTTAAAAATCCAAATATTTGGATTAAAAAAATCCAAATATTCCCTTTAACTAAAAACTTACCTTTCTAAGCATTTCATTATCTTGAACATTATTGAGTTCATGTGAGCTAATCTCTCCTTTCAGCGTATACTCATAAAATTTTCCACTAACATTTACCAACAAGGTAGTTGGACTTGACTGCACTTCACAGCTCAGGGTCACATTATTTACATCACTTGGAACATGAATGCCATACCGAAGCACAAGGCCCACCAAAAGACCTGAAATAAAAGAACAATGTAAGCTCTTCTTGCAGGCAGAGACCACCTGTTTGTATTTCACACATACCTCTGGATTGATAACACAAAATCTCTGATGATATTCCCTTGTGATCCAGAACCAATTTTTAGACCAAATACAGTTATAACTTAAAGTATTACTAAAGTCACATATCCAAATACCTAACCTTCATGTAATGTAGTAGGACAGGAGAGAAAACCACTTCCCAGGGTAATAGCATGGATCACTGCATTTCTAGATTAATGTATAAATAAGTGTTGAGGAAAGGAAAAAATTAGAAAATATCTTCAGATCATCTGTACAATGGAATATGTTCCAAGCTGTCCAAACTTGATAATGTAGTCATGTTAGAAATGTGCTTTTTTATTTTTTTGCCTCCATCAATTTACCAGACTTAAGTGCATGCTTCCCAAAGTTCAATCCCAAAGCATATGGCTGGCCTAATATACATTTAACAAATTAGAAAGTCAATATATTATTTGTAGATTAATTGAATTCTTCTATTCAAAGGTCAGATTTAAATATTAAAATGTCTGCTTCAAATCAAAAGATGGAGTACAAGTTCTGTAATCAACATACTGCTAGGATTTCACCTGGATTATTCCATTGGCATTCAAATAAGCACAGTGTACTAGGTTAGGTTCTATAAAACTACATTGATCAACTGGAAATCTGTTTAATAATAGCTTTGCTGATATAATTCACATGATATAAAGTTTATCCTTTTAAGTTATACAATTCAGCGGTCTTCAGTATATTTACAAAGTTGTGTATCAATCACCAGTATCTGATTCCAGAATATTTTCATCTTGCCAAAAAGAATTAGAATACTCCCTATTCCCCTCACCTCTAAACCCCCCAGGCTCTTGGCAACTACTAATCTACTTTCTTTCTCTAAGGATTTACCCATTCTGAACATTTTATATAAATGGCATTCTACAACATGCCTTTTGTGTCTAGCTTCTTTTACTTAGTATAAGGCTTTCAAGGTTAATCTATGTTGTACCATGTATCAGAACTCCATTTTTAATGATCAAGTAATATTCCATCAACTACAAGCTGAACCCATCCAAACTTCTGAAACTTTCTTAATGCCAAGCTGCATCATACATCACTATTAGTTACATTTTACCTTCCTGTGGCCTTTCATTCTGACCAGCCAAATATTCTTTTAAGATGTGAATGGAGTCCTATGTTAGGGAGGTCCTGGGGTTCAGAGATGTAAAGAAATCCCTCCTTCAAGGAGCTCTCAGTCCAGTAAGTGAAAACAGACTGAATAATCATAATAAAAATATATACTTGTATGCATAAAAATGATATATTTTTACCAAGAGTGAGGTAAAGGACATTAAAGAAAGTCTTTCCAGAACTGTCACCTGAGCAGGTAACAAAATAGAAAAAAGGATGTATTTCAGGTGGAGAAATAGTTGTATATATCTAGACAAGGAAGAAGAGAACACAGCCCACTCAAGGGAATTACAAATAGTTCAGTATGGCTAACTTATATGGTAATAAGAGGTAAGGTTTAAAAGACCAGCAGGAGGGGCTCAGTGGTACAGCTTGCCTGGCATGTGTGAGGCCCTGGGGTTTAATCCTCAGCACTGCATGCATATAAATAAATAAAAATAAAATAAAAGATCCATTGACAACAACAAAAAAAAAATTAAAAGATGAGCAGGATCTGAATCATGAAGGATGACATATATTAGGGAGAAAGTTTGGAGTTTATTCCAGAAGCAAAAGGAAATCATAGAAGGGTTCTAAGCTGGGGCTTGATATCAGATTCCTATTTTTGAAAAAAAAAATTCTAGACTAGAGAGGGTCTAAAAGGCCAGCTAGATGGCCACTGAAATCATTCAGGCAATAAGAGCTTTTAGGTAGGGAATAGTATACACTGGATCGTACACATTTCTATATATTTATATATTTTTATCACAATCTGAGAGTAGTGATAGAAGAGAGATGGAGTTTCAGATGGTATTATATAGTTTAGAAAGATTCAGTGACTAAAAAGAAAAGGTTAGGGGGAAGGGAGATGAAAGACTTAAGATTTACAGGAGTCATAATGGACTGGGCAACCAAGTAGATAAGCTATCTTGAGCACCTAGTTAAATTGTAGGGTCAGTCAATGGAGTACGAACACGACATGCTGAGTTTAATGTACCTATGACATATGCACAGAGGTCTAGAGCTCAAGCGGGAAGTCGTAACTGCAGATATATACTGGGCAATCATAAATTAGTAGAAGTCAGGCTCAGATGAGATCACCTAGAAGCAAACAAAATATCAAGAAGACTACAGATATAAGCTCAGGATTTTTATCCATTAATAGACAACAATGAGAGGCTGGTAGAGGAGGAACTGAGGGATGAAATCTATGGAGGAAAAGCCACAGGAGAAGAAAGAAGAATGAGTGGTGGCTAAGAATTCAAGAAGAAAGGGAATAATTTATTTTTGTGCAGGAATAAGTGATAAAAACTATCAAATGCTACAGCAAAGTCAAGTAAGGCTGGCTTGAGAAGTAACCACTGTGTTTGACAAAAAAGAGAACACAGTGACCTTGATAAGGTTTCAGTGGAATAGTGAGGGTAGAATCCAGACCAGCGTGGGAAGGAGTAAAGCAGAAACAGGGTTATAAAAGCAGTAGTTGTCCAGGAAAGAAGGAGGGAGCAAAGATACTGAATCCTCTAGTCAACTTACAGTCACACATGCTTTTTTAAAGTAAGCAACAATGATGAATTATTTAACAGTATAATGACATCAACTTTAAAAACATTTTATCCAAAGTTAAGATGTAACATAAATGAAAGATTCACTTTTTTAAAAGTTGCACCACAAAAATTAAAATTAAAAAGTGACTGCTAGGTATTAACTATCCTTGTCAAATATAATCTGCGAGAGAAAAGACTAAAGATTCAAATAGTCTATTCTGCCTATATGATATAGAAACATCTCTGTGTCTTTTATCCCAAGAATTCCTAATTAAGCGGCTTAGTAAAAGTTATTCCCTTATATTTGCATGCAAAAAAATCACAGATTAGCTACTATAAATATAATAAATTAGTGGCACAGCATAAATTCTTTCCACATCCTCAAACCCATTTAGGTAGGGAATAGTATACACTAGATCCTATGCATTTCTAGCCCTATGCTAAAACATCACTGGATGCCCCATTATGGTTTAAATGAGATGTCCCCCAAAAGTTCATGTGCGAAACAATGGGAGATGATTGGTTATGAGAGCCTAAACTAATCCCTGCATTAATCCTCTGATAGGGATTAACTGGGTGGTAACTGTAGACAGATAGGGTGTGGTGTAAAAAGGTGAGGTCCTGGACATGACTTTGTTATATTTTGTCTGTGGTGGCAGAAGTCTTATCTCTCTGCTTCCTGGTACCATGTCTCCAGCTGCTTTCCTGTGTGATACTTTTCCATGACTACAGTTTTTCTTATCTCAGGCCCCAAATGGAGTTGGCCACCTATGGACTGAGACCTCTGAAACCACACACCTCAAATAAACTTTTCCTCCTCTAAATTTGTTCTTCTCAGGTCTTTTGGTCACAGTGGTGAAAAGGTGACTAAAACATGCCTGAAAAGGGCGCAGTACTTGCACAGATTTGAAACACATACCTTGGCATATAAAACAACAGCATGGAGAATAATTATTTAGGTTGGAAAAATAGAGATCCTTCTATTATGATATCAGGCATCTGAAAAATTGTAATCCTCAGAAAAGAGTTGACAGAGAAATTTAATATGGGTTCTTTGAAAGGTCAAATCCTAATCATGAAGTGAAAGCAATTTTCAATAAAGAAAAAGGACACAAAAAAGGGTGCTTTGTTAGGAGAATAAAGCAAAAACTTCTAGCCTCCCACGTACACAGAGGCACAGAAAATATTGATATTATAGAATTTAAAATTACCACTAACAGGCACCAAGGATTATAACCACAAAGAGATATCTTTCACAAAACGAAGACATCTACTCCTACACATTCATGACCCACTTGTGCTGGAAATTCTCCCAGTGATAAGGAACTCAGCTTCACCAAAGGTACCACCATCGTATGTATCAAACTTCCACTTAGCAGAAACTGGTTTTCTAGTGAATTTCAGCCCATCCTTCCAGCCCATTGCACTTGAATCCCCCAACAGTCAAAAATAAAGAAGGAACATCACTGGAACATTAGGTGTGGCCAAAACTGATAAAATTTCTATAGATTAAGATGTGCATGTGTATAAAAACATTCATTACTTACTTGAAGAATTCCATTAGAGCCTATATAAAAAGTTAATTCAAGAGCTGGGGGTGTAGCTCAGTGGTAAAGCACTTGCCTTGCATGTATAATGCCCTGGGTTTGAATCCCAGCAAAGAAAAAAGAAAACTAATTCAAGATGGACAAGAAAGTCAAGGCTTTTGCTTATCTTAGTTTTACGTACATTTATTCATTTCTGTCTCCTAGCACATTCACAACAGAGGCTCTTCCAAGTTTTAATCCTCCTTCTCAAGTTTTCAACCCCAATGACTACTTTTCTGAGAAGCTGGGGAGGGGTGAGTTTTGACACCACCTTCCTCAATTCCAAGCCTCTCCATCTTAATATAAGCACATTAATCTTCATCTCTCCTCTTAGGAAAGATAAACATCTTTTTCAAGAAAACCTTTTCACCTAGGACCTTGAACCAATTCCTATTTTATTTCTACAAAAAAATAATATATTTATATTATATACACACACACATATATAATTTGAGCCTTATAATCTCGGCACAGATACTATAATTCTGTCACTGTTTCTTCATCTATGAAATGAGGATAAATGAATTACCCAACATTATTTGTCATCTAATGACAAAGTCAGAATTAAAATTTAGACTTTCTCACTCCAAAGCCACTATAATTTTCTCATTTTCTCCTTACTCTCTCATCAAAATGAACTGCTTCTCTAGTGTTTCTTTGAAAAAGCAGATGATTTAGGTCTCCATTCACTCACAGTCTTCCCTTACAATCTACCTTCAAAGCCCTTTCAACTGTAAGTATTATTTTCTTATATATTTTATTTTATGAAATTGAGTATAGTACAGTACAGGACAAAAAGCCTACATTTAGAAGTCAGACAGATGTATAAATTGTGGCTCCATCAAGTTCTAATCTGTAACCTTAAGGTAGATAACCCCTCATTGAAGCTATCTCCTCATATGCAGTGGTGATAATTCTAACTCATCTGTCTTTACAGTTAAGTTTTATCTCTTTGCCGTGAAAGCAATGTGATTTAAGAGCTAAGAAAATGGGTCTTGGGCTGGGGATGTGGCTCAAGCGGTAGCGCGCTCACCTAGCATGCATGCGGCCCGAGTTCGATCCTCAGCACCACATACCAACAAAGATGTTGTGTCTGCCGAGAACTAAAAAATAAATATTAAAAAATTCTCTTTCTCTCTCTCTCTCTCCCCTCTCTCACTCTCTCTTTAAAAAAAAAAAAAGAAAATGGGTCTTTTGAACTAGATTGAGTGGGTTTGAATCCTGGCTAAATATGTCTAAGTTATGTGACATCAGGGAGGTCACTTAACTTCTCTAAGCCCCAATTTCATCATCTGTTAAATGGGAAAGATAATAGTGCCCATCTCGTAACAGCGATGTTAGGAAGTGTAAATGAAATTATAATTGCAGTTATACATGGTATACCTGTAATCCCAACTACTTGGGAGGCTTAGGCAGGAAGGTGGCAAATTTTAAAGCCAGCCTAGGCAACTTGGTGAGATCCTATCTCAAAATAAAATTTTAATTAAGGGATAGGGATGTAGCTCAGTGGTAGAGCACTTATGTAGCATGCCAGTTAGATCCCAAGCACTGCAAAGAAAAAGAAATACTTGCAAAGCACTTAGCACAATGTCTAACATGTTGTAATGCCCATAAATATTATCTATTAAGTCACTGGATTGTAAGTACTTTGTGGGCAGGGCTCAGACCTATATTTCCCATCATATTTCATACATTATAGACATTTAATAAATGCTTATTAATGAATCACACTAGTTAAGCCTAGACCCCATATTCCCTAAACTTAAGGCAAAACAAATATTTCTTCCATCTTTTGCTTTGTATACTATCTGGAAAACACAATGGTGAATGATCATTTTTTGGACTTAATTAACTACCTCAATAATTTTTACTAACAGTGACTCACTCTTAAGCCTTTTAAGAAAGCTAGCCCAATGAACAAAAGCACGTGGGTGCTTTGACATTGTGTTTGTAATGGGAGCAATTAGTCTATATTACAAACTAGAAACTGACCACATTAGCGATCTAATTTTTTTTACCCTTGATTCTCAAAAAGATAAAGAAAAGGTTCATTTTAAATAGAATTTCCCAGGAGTTAAGCAGCTAAACCAAATATTACAGGAATAAATCACCAGTAGGCTAAACCTTGGAGATACACCATTCTCTTTTCACCAAGTCAAGCTGAAAAATAAAGGTCTTGAAATGATATAGTAACACAACAGCTATAACAGTACAAGAGTCATAAGAAGAGACAAATAACAGTAACTAGGGTTAGAAAATTTCAGTTTCCAGTGTCGAAGATACTTTGGCCCAATCCCATCTATTCTTGAACTGGACTTGAGAGTGAGTTAGTGGGCAGGTACTGTGGCTCAGTGGTAGAGCGTTTGCCTAGCACCTGTGAGGCGCTGGGTTCGATTCTCAGCACCACATATACATAAATAAAAAATAAAAGCATTTTTTAAAAGAGAGTTAGTTAGAAGGCTGTTTAGTTCACAGCCCTTGCTACCCACAGTGAGAAAAGGAACAGGCTAAAGGATGCCAAATCAATCCCAGATTTGACTCTCAGATTTACACTCTTGCACTTCATATTCCACAAGCGATATCTTTGTTTTTCCTTCATAAGTACTCTATCACTTTTATTAACTTAGAAACTTCAGGAAATACCATCAGTAATCTTACTTTTTTTTTTTACTTCAGTCCACAAATCAGATGAAGTTAGTGATATCAGCTACCAAAGAGCAAATATTTTCAGGGTAATTCAAAGTCCCTATTTGATTAAAAATTACTATGTTTGCCCCTTATAAGACTGAGCAATTAAATAACTATTCTCAGCCTAATCTTAAGTCACTGGATTGCACAACTATCATTTATTAAGCATTTACTTAGGGGCCAAGTAGAAGGCTAAAAACATTTCTTCCTCACAATAAGCCTACAATCATTATCCCCAATATAGATGAGAGTTAAATAGGAGAAAGAAACTTTACTAAGATCACACATAGTTACTGGTACAAAGTGACAGGGATCCAGGTCCAACTCTAAAGTCAGGGGTTTGCAACTATAGCATTCCATCTGTTTTTGTATGGCCCAAGAGCTAAATGCAGTTTTATGTTTTAAAGGATTATAAAAAGAAAAACAACTACAACAAAGAGTAAAATGCAACACAGACATGGAAATCTGTGTGGCTTATAAGTCAACAATCTTCAGGATCTAGCCCTTTACCGAAAAGAATTTTCCAACCTCTAGTCTAAAGCCTTGTACCTTTAACTATCAAAATCACATTATTTCTGTTTATAAGAAAGAGATATCTGTGATCAATTCCTTATTTTAACATAGTACTCTTTTCATACTTACCAAATCTAAGATGTCATTATTTTCATTATTTTCTTCTTATGACTTGTCTATAAATTCCTTGAAGGGAAGGGGCCTATATTTCTTTGTATTTTCTGTGCATAATACATAGTAGACTGAACAGCAAATTTTTTTGAGGATAGTAAAAAAAAAAATCACACACGGTTATACAAAGAAACACCATAAAATATAGAAATTTTCTGGCCAACTCGCCTTAAGGGACACTGCAAATGAAATGTAAAAAAAAAAATGAAAAAAAAACCACCTAATATCTCTAAAACCCAAGAATCCTAGTGAGCAGAGATACTGTACACAAAGGCTTAGAATTTTATTACCTTGCAAATGAAAAATAAGCTTGAACTCATGAATTTTCCTGAGGCACACAACTCTCTTTGCTTGCTACCATTGAGATGCATGCACATTCTAGAAGTCTAGATTTACTGGAAAGGGGTGGGGGTGGGAGGTTGCATAGAGAAATGTCTTTTCATGTGAGAGCTTCTTCTATCTATCCACAAGTCTCAGAGACAAACCTCAATAAGGTTAACAGTTAAAGACTATTCTAAATGAAGATAATCTTCACACATATACTGCACAGACATGATGGATATCTGCCCTCATCTCTTTGGCCCATACTCTCATAGTCAGATTAAGACAATCAGCAATACTTACCATCTTTTCCCCTCATGAGGCCTGAGCATAGCTCAATATGCCTCTGAGTCCATGGTTTGATTTACCCTTCTCGAACTTGACACCAAAAACTAAAAATAAATAAATAATCTCAAAAAGAAAGCACACTGAAACACAAGAACTGAAGCCACTTAACAGTCAGTCAATAACTCCATGCCAAAAGCAAAGTCACCCATACTGCATATGCGTGGTGTTTATTAACTGCTGCTCAGCTGAACCGTCCTGATGATACTATAGTACACCACACTTCTGGTGGTACCATAACTCTTCCCTGTCCTCAGTTCTGTAGCCTGAATTTTAAGGGTCAAACATAGATATCCTTATCAGATATTACAGGCATAGTACAATAAATCAGGACGTCATCTAAAATGCCCCAAACCTTCTGTAGCCTATTTTACATTCAAGTTATTTTGCATGGGCTCCACAAGAGTAAGGTTTTCATTTTTAACCTCAAAAGAACAAGATACAGGAAGAGCTGGGAAATGAGTAAAGGTCGACTCTACTTCCAAAAGAATGCCAGATGCTGGGCAGTAGACATACTACTGCAGCTTCTGTGAGCCTTAAACAGTCTGACACCCTAGAGAAACAGATCGCAATGGTGTCTTCCCCTCCCCCAGCCCCCAGCCCAATTCGAGACACCGCACCCACTCTCTTCTCATGCTCAATCCCAGTCCCGGTCCCGAGCTTCGTAGGCTGAGGAGGGAGAGCCGGGTGCAGAAAAAAGGGGGTGGGGTCGGAGGCGAAAAAGGTACAGAGAGGCAGAGAAAATGGGGGAGGGAGGGCGAGGCCCAGGAGGTAGGGTGTGAGGTAGAGAATCGGGGGGCACAGCAGAAATAAAGGGGGTGATGAAAAGAAATGAGGGGGGTGAGGAGCGACAGAAAATGGAATTAGAAGGGGAGCCGAATTTAGGCCGAGCAGGGCCAGGACAGGAGGCGAAGCAGCAAGCGGGCAGAGAAAGGGGCAGTGCCAGGGAGCGGACAGGGGTCGAGGAACTTGCCGTAAATCATAGCCAGGCCGGTTTCGTGCAGGAAGCGGGCCCGGCGGTGCTTGAACAGCCATATCGTGAGAATAGTGAGGGTGAGCAGCAGGATGAAGATGAGCAGGTTGGCGCTGTCCTGCCGGTGGCTCTCTTCGGCTTGCTTCTCGGACACTATCTCCTCGTCCATGGCTCTTGTCGCTCGGCTGGCGCCGTCCGAAGCCCCGGCCCAGCCGAAGACGCCCACTGCGAGGAGCAACCAGAGGGGCCTCATGAGCGGGAGGGCCCGGGGCCCCACGCCGACACCGGGGGGGGGGGGGCCCCCGCCGCCAGCCGCGTCGAGCCATGTCTCCCCCCTCCGCCCCCCGCCCCTCTCCTCACCGGCAGCCGCCCGCGGTCGGACCACTCCCCGAGGGCTCACGGGAAAGGGGCGGGGCCAGAGGGAAGCCGTCGGAGCGCGCCTCGCCGCCTCCTCTCTTAAAGGGGCCGCGGCAATGCCAGCTCGCTCTACTAATTCCTCTACCCCGTGCCAGCTGTGTGACACAGTTGAGCGTTGTCAGGGAATGAAAGGCCGTCGAATCTAGCCCACTGCCTTCTGCTAAGGACACATCTGCTCAGTGTATTCAAGCACAGGCAGATTGTGCTTCTGTCTACTTTGATCCTATTCTTAGAGCCCTCAAGGGAATCGATCTTTCATAACCCATCTCAATATCGTTCCCCAGTGTCTCTTAACAGGATAAGAAGTTGTCCCCTTGAGAGTGACCTCAATCTCCATCTCTGTAATTTAAAGCGGATTTCCCTCGTTTTCCTCATTGGGGAAAAAAGACAACACCTTAGTACTTCACAAAAGAAATGACTCGAAGGTGTGGATCCTGCTTGTATATCTGTATATTCAGTTTGCTTTACATGTAAATGATTTATGTAGTCTGTCACATCAGGAACCTATGCAGAGAAATCCATCATTCTTCCAAGATTCAAATCGGCTTGTGCTCAGATTTACCAGGTGCTCAAAAAACACCCTCTCCCTTCCCTTACCAAAGAAAAAATATTTGGCGGTGTGGTGAGTGTTTTATTCCTCTCTTCTTGTTACTTGTTTCCTTCTGTCTTAAAGCAATGTCTCCAAGTCAGCAGTCACCTTTGACCCCCATCTGTTGTCTCTCGTATTTTCTGTGTGCCTGTCACACTTGCACATCACAAGTTTCAGTGTTTTCACCTCCATACCTGAGCTTTGTGTTTCACAGCAGTAGATTCCTATTTTTGCCATACTTCTCAGATCACTACTTAGTTTGTATGGGCTCTTTGTTTTCTCAGGACTTTCATTTCCAGGTGAATGAGCTACAAATCTCAAGCCTTGGCCTGCCACCCTCCCTTCAGGCCTCTTCTACCTGTTAGATGCTGAGTGTATCCTGTTGAGGCTCCTACTATCCTTCGAAACTGAAAATATTTTGAAACGGGCTCATTTCTTCCCCTTCCTAATACGTGTCCTTTCTCAAATTTTTCATATCTGCATTGGTACTACTATTATCTAATTCCAATCATTCTGTGTGGAACTCACGATTCTCAAATGTTTTCATCTTAAGGCCTCCCTGCCAGACAACACTCAGCCTAACTCTAGGCGTCCCAAGTGTGGATTCATCCCCTAGTCCCACTAACCAGCTCTTTCGGCTCTGTGAGGATGGTGAACTTTAAAAAAAAAAAAAAAAGCTCCAGGGCTGGGGATGTGGCTCAAGCAGTAGCAGGCTCGCCTGGCATGCGTTTGGCCTGGGTTCGATCCTCAGCACCACATTCAAACAGAGCCCTTCCTCTACCCTTTTCAAGAACCAGCCACTGCTCCAACCTGTTGCCAAGGTAACCTGTCCCAGGAATTACCCTTTCCTACAGGGAGCTATAAGGTTGTTAATTCATGTGTCCTGGGCTGCTCCATCCTGCCCTTCCCCCTTCAGCCCACCTGTTTTCCACCTTTTGGCCAGCCCACCGAGCTTTCCTGAACCTAGTCAATTGCCTAGTCACCTACTCTGGAATAAGAAAGATAAGGGGAAGAGGGCAGGAGAACAAAGGAAGCCTAGGACATATAAAAAGAGCAGAACTCTTTGCTTCTTGGGATACCAGGATACCAGCTATGGCCCCCTTCTTCCTCTAGGGAGAAGTCCATGTTACCCCTTTTCAAAGAGGCCCTGCTTTATATGCTTGCTTCTATATGCTTTGCTAATGTTCAAACTTCAACGTGTGAGGAAGCAGAACTCATCACCGATAACCAGCGGTTCCACGGAGATCTACACTGAGATAAACTCCTATCCGTGCACCTTCACATTTGTTTGAGGTGCATCTTTCTGTCTCTTTCATTTTGGAGGATTATGGGCACCTGTTGGCTACTTAAATGCAATCAGTGCAGCTGCCACTCTTCAAGACTCTTGAAGACTTTCCCAGCCTAGGCGGCTCTCAATCAACTATTCTGTGTAGAGCAGTCATGTTGGGCCCTGCCTAAACCGTTTCTTACTTTTCTGTCCAGGCCCAGAGAGCAATTGGTGTGAATACACAGTGTCCCTAGTCCTCATCTGCCTTAGATGTATGGAAGTGGATGAAGGAGCATGGAATAACTGCAAAATTTCCAGCCTGGGCTACACTCAGGCGAAAATCCTGAGGTTCCTTCTGTTGATCCCCCTCTCGACTTCCACTTCCCTAAGGGGTAGATCAGTAGATGAATGGCACTGAGGAAAAGACCCAATTACATTTGCCTCTGTGTGGGCCACACAACACTCCCTACCCCCAATCCGTTCCCTCTTGGATACTCCCCTTCCTTTGCCAGTCAGAAACACAAGCAATTCAGATTGTAGGACTGAGAGAAAAACATGGGATGATTAATAAGAAAACATCTCAGTTCCCTTTGTTTGCATAGTTAACCTTTACAAGCCAGTTTAAAATCTCCCTTTACTGTTCCTGTGCTCAGATGAACTCAATGTATTCTTTTTAAATGCTGCAAGAGGGAGGCACTCTATTTTAACCAACCCCTCCCATAAATTCCTCCAGAAAAGGGTGTTTGTTATGCACTTAACAACCAATAGATGTTCCCCTTACCCTCAGGAGATTCCTTTAGTCTACAGGACAACAATTAGGCACAAAAGTTTAAGACTTATGCAATTATCCTCTTTTTTTCATAATCCAGAGTTATAGTGGCAGGGAGGAAAGCAGCAGCGCCCTTAAGTTTGAATACTCCCAGGGTCTCTGGCGTAGGGAAAACTGGGACCCTAGTACTTTGTCAAAGGAGGCCAGAAATAATTTGTCTAAGCCAGGTGATGAGAGCGGGGTTTTCTGGACCATAATGACGCGCAATTTTAGGGAGACATCCCTAATACATCGGATAAACAGTTTTCTCTGACACAGTAGAAAACTTGAATTTTCTATCACTCAGGTAGGAGCTTCTCTCTGAAGTCAGTGTGTAGATTGGCCACTAGTCTACATACTGGGAAATTACAAAATGATCAGGAAAAGCGCCTCATTTTCATGTGTTGTCAGGCCTAACCTCAATCTCTACCATGAAAAAAAGCCTTAATAAATCACCTACTGAGGAAGAGCAATCAAGGGGACTCCCCCTCTAAATTAAAACAAGAACAAATTCAGGGAGATTTTTGAAAGATCTAAATAAAAATATTGGGATGTTTCAGAACTTATGCCAGGTGTTTGACCTCACCTGGAAAGATATTATATTTCCACTTAGCCAAACTTTAGCCTCCAATAAAGAGGCCACCCTAATGCAAGTAGCTAAAGAATTTGGGGATGGACCTACATCTTTCCCATGCCCCCCAGCATCACAAACTAGAAACAAATCTAATTATTCATCTAGATCACAGGCAATTCCCAGAAAGGACCCTAATTAGGACCCAAATGATGAACTGGATACTTGGAAGATTACACATTTCCAAATGTTGGCCCTTGAAGCCCTCAGGAGGATCACGCAAAAAGCCCATTAACTATTTGAAAGTCTGAAATTACTCAGGGTCCTCAAGAAAACCCTGCTACTTTCATGGAGAAACTCAGGGAGACAATAAAAACTAAATCCTGAATCCATAAAGGGCCACGACTTTTAAAGGATAAATTTACCAAGAAAGTTTACTCCCCCTCTGAGTTATGTGAACAGGTTTTGGAAGCCTTAAAGACATTAAAACGGGGCCTTATTTTGAGCCCCTGTCCTCAATTTACCTAAGGAGCAAGATTTAACCTGTTTGTCACTGAGAGAAGAAGAAGAACCTTAGGAATGGTCATACATAATAATGGACCTGCTCAACAGCCAATAGCTTATCTCAGTAAGGAGCTTAACATCGTAGCTTTGTTCTCAAAAGTAATAGAAAGTAAGGTATCATAATTTTCCACATCCAATTCTGTCCAATTACCAACTAGGAAAAAAAGTGGTTAAAACACCTTTGCATAAGGTTTCTGCTCAGAATAGCAGTTTTCCTGGCTCCTTCCAGACCTCAGCCAGGACTTAATTGAAATGCAAGTAGAAGAAGACTGCAAGCTTAGGAGAGTGAGTTTAGGCCCAAGAAAAAAAAAGTGTTTTTTACCTGAACTCAAACTAGACTAAACCAAAAAGTAAATTGTATGGTACTTTACTAATTATTGGCTGGTCATTTTTTCTAGGACTCTTGCTTTTTCTTAGATTCTGTATTTTTTTTTTTTTTTTGAGTTCATGATTTTGGTCCTATGCACCTAGGCTAATGTTTTTCTGATCAGCCCTATTTTTTATTCAACTATGGAGTTTTTAAACATCTGTAACATTGCAGTGCAGATTCACCTGTGCAAAGCTAAAAAGCCTTTGCTATTGTGTTATGTGTTCACACTTCCGTTATGTGTCGTATGTCTATATGTGTCTATGTCCATATATCATGTACATGATATCAAAATTGGCAGATATATAAGGAACATGCATAAATTTAAAAAAAATGAATCCAAATACCTTTAATTCACATGATTTAAAATGATTCAATTTAAATTGGGTAAACAGATGAAAGTAAAAATGTCTTTAAAATTAACCTTAACTCACAAGTCTCTTTAGGTGGTCAAAGAACTAATAAAATGTTGATGTCTATAAAATGTCTAATAACTCTTGGTTCTAGAACTTTTCTCCAACAAGGAAGAAATGGTTAATACTGTTCAATACACTTGTCTGACATTTTGGTAAAATAAGTAAAGTAGATTTGACATGGTATCACTCATATTTATGAGTGATTTTGTTTGTTAGACATCTGGGTAATTTACAAGGTGAAAATAATAACTGTTAAATATACCATCAAGTACTCTTAACTCCTTGAATCCCACTGGGTAACATTATTGATGTTTTCATAATTTGGTAAATGAAGAAAAAAAGGGTTTAAAGTTGCTTTGTTATCACTTAAGAATTTAAAGTCCCAACAGGTATAATTCTATATACTTAAACATTATGTTTTTATTAAATGGCAAACAGATATGATTCTATATACAAAGGTTTATAGAAGATTCCTATATACAAAGACCCAAAAGTTTCAACTGTTCCAATTA